AATAGACACTTAAAATTATCGATCAAAGGGCAACTACTGAACTGGGTGGGAGGTGGCCCACACTTGTAATCCCAACTACTCAGGAGGCTGAGGTAGGTAGGAGAATCACAAGTTCAAGGCTAATTGGACAATTCAGAAAGAATGTCTCAAGATAAAATAAAGAAAAGGGCTGGGGATATGGCTCAGTGGCTAAGTGCCTTTGGGGTTCAATCCCCAGTACCAAAAAAAAATTATGATTATTAGAACAATTGTATGAAACAATCTGTATATAACTATACTGTAGGGACTATACTATTGGGAACTATTTGTATTTAACAATATAAAGGAGGTGAGTAGGAACAAAGCTGTATTGCAGTAAGAAAATGATACTAGATTGTATCATAGGAACCATAAAGAACAAAAATGGTAAATAAGACTTAAAACAAATACTAAAAACATGTTCTTCCCCCCCCCCCTTTTCAACTTTTCAACTTTCTGGATTTATATCATGTAAATGCAGTATAATAATAGTTCCAAAGCAGAAAAGGGAATGGAGCATTTTAGGACCAATGTTTCTATATCACACTGGATTTAGTATAAATCTAAAGTAATTAGTAAGATGCATATGACAAGCCCTAGAGTAACCACTAAAAAAAAAAAAAAAAAAAAAAAAACAACCAAAGTGGGAGCAGAGTGTGATGGTGCATGCCTGTAATCCCAGCAGCTTGGGAGGCTGAGACAAGAGGATCCCAAGCTCAAAGCCAGCCTCAGCCAAAGCGAGGCACTAAGCAACTCAGTGAGACCCTGTCTCCAAATAAAATACAAAATAGGGTTGGGGATGTGGCTCAGTGGTTGAGTGCACCTGAGTTCAATCCCTGGTTCCCCCCAACCAACCAACCAAACAAACAAAAAAAACAAAAACAAACAAACCATAATGAGATACCACTTCTTACCCAATGGGATGGCTGAAATCAGGAGCAAAGAGTGTTGGCAAGGATGTGGAGAAGTGGGAACCCTCATACATTGTTGGAGGGATTGTAAAATGGTACAGTCAGTTTGGAAACTAGTCAGGCAGTTCTTCAAAATTTGACCCAGGGATTCTACTCCCATTTATATATCCAAGAGGAACAAAAATATGTCTCCATGAAACAACTCAAAATGCTCATCAACTGATGAATGGATAAAGAAAACAGTACATTCATATAATGGAATGTCATTTGGCACTAAAAAGGAATGATACATGATACAACGTGTATGAACCTTGGAAATGTTAGGATAGGAAAACGAAGCCAGTTACAAAGAATATCTGTTATATGATTGCATTTGTATGAAATGTCCAGAATAGGCAAATACAGAGATAATATGTAGATTAGTAGTAGTTGTATAAAGCTAAGGAGGATGGAGTGGTAGACAAAGGGTATGATCTTTCTTCTGGGGGTGATAAAACATCTTAAAATTGATTGTGATAATTGCATAACTCTGTGAACATACTAAAAACCACTGCATTGTACACTTTCAAGTGGGTGAACTATAAATGAATTATATTTCTATAAAAGTGTGAAAAAAGTTCATGTATGAATAAAGGAATCTAATTACAGAAACAAAATAAGGAGGGTATATGAAAGTATTGGGTTTTTGATAGAACTATGTTGAAAGTTACAAAATCTGAAGTAAACTAGTTTGTAATAAACTCTTAAAAGATATTTGCATTTATTGAAATTAAATTTATGTTTTTGCAAAGATGTAACTTTCCTTACAGGAGGAACATATTTAATCTAAAATCACATAGTTATACATATGACTCAGATGTCAACATAAAGGGCATAAGTGAAAAAAAGATACTAGTTATAAAATATTAAAATGAAATTGCAATAGCCTTACAAAGCTATTAACTTAAACTATGAGAGGGTAGTTTATGAAATATTTCAAACTATAAGTTCACAGCATATGGACTATTATTCCACTAAGATATATATATATATATATATATATATAGGCCACATGTGTATCTCTTATAAAACTGTACTTATGAGTATATATGCCAAGATGTATGGGACTTATAAACAGAAAAGATTCAAAGATACCTTTTACTAAATTCAACAAATTTGGTTTCAGAATGAATTTTTTTTATTATGGCAAACAGAGTATCATGTTTAGAAACTTTGACAGAAAATAGTTGAGTCATATATATTCCTTTGCTATTTTCACATCTAATTTTACTTAAAGTATTAACATTACACATAAAAACCCAATAATTTTAATAAGAAATTGTTCAGTTTTACTTGCAACTTTGAGAGCCAAAATTCTAATACATATTGGAATCTAAAAGCTATTAGGAAATAGCAATAATAGAGACTACATATTTTAAATATTGGACAAATGAAGAGAGCATATATTGAGATATAAATCAGAAAGTATTTTCTAAAAGATTCTTAAATATACAGAATTAGTAATGTATGTTCTTTCAATATTCAAGCATTAAAAATGAATTTACAAAAAAAATCAACTTATATACAATTTTTAAAAACCCTACCAAATGAAAAAAAAAAAAAAAGAGAGGCACTACTTTTATCCACAAAAGGCATCCAAATGTTTTAATAATTTAAAAATAAAAAGGGTCCAAAACAATTGACTCCTTAGAAACAAAGCTTCTATGTATTAAGAGGGCTATTTAAGAAATTATAATCTATTTTATGCACATTTTTCAGTCACAAATTTTATCACACTTTGCCTTCTATTTCTATTGTTTTTTGAATCAATATGGAAGAGTGTTACAACATTGAGCCTACTGGTAATTTGAATTAATATTCTGAAAGAAAAATGCTGTATATACATAGAAAATAATGAAGAAAAAAGTTAGTGCTAAAGAACAATACATACTCAGGTTGTAAAACTCTACCAGGTTAATAAAATAAACACCAAGATGCAGATGGTGAAGTTAGAAAAAACCCAAACCAGCTGAGTCAATATTACAATTACTTTATCAAGTAGTTTTATCTGTTGGTTGGTTTGGCATTTGGGTAGATAAATAAATTAATTAAGGAGGCTAGAAATCCTTAACAAAGATTTATTACTGAATTGAAGCTAGTAGTAACAATAAAAGAGGAAAAAAAAAATCTTTTTAGGTTTTTTTTTTGTTGTTTGTTTTTGTAGTGCTGAGGACAGAAACCAAGGCTTCATGCATGCTAGACAAGTGTTCTACCACTGAGCTACAGCCCCAGCTCCAATCTTTTATCATTAATAAGGAAAAAGTTACCATCATTTTCTTAGAAAAAAGAAAACATGCAATATTTTGGGGAAAATAAAAAAAAGTAAACTTAGAAATACAGAAGTTAAGGCACTTATTTCAATGGGTTTGCAAAATCCAGGGCAAGGTATATATTGTATTTCTCTGAGAAATCCCTTCCATCCAAAACCCATTAACTTTGATCCTTTAATAGATTTTTAAAAATATTTATTTATTTATTTATTTTAGTTCTCGGCAGACACAACATCTTTGTTTGTATGTGGTGCTGAGGATCGAACCCGGGCCACATGCATGCCAAGCAAGCGCGCTACCGCTTAAGCCACATCCCCAGCCCCCTTTAATAGATTTAAAAAAAATACTTTCTTTTAGTTGTAGATGGACAAATACTTTTGTTTATTTATTTTTAGGTGGTGCTGAGGATCGAACCCAGGGCCCTGCATGTGCTAGACAAGCTCTCTACCGCTGAGCCACAACCTCAGCCCACTTAACAGATCTTTATTGTCAAACCTAACAGCTATAAGCTACCAAAGTATAATTACTTGCAGAATTGTTAATTTTTATTACTCTACAAATAAGGAAATAATTAAATCCTTCCAATTCAAAGTTTTCTACTATTATTGTTTTAAATACGAATATTTGAAGCAAATACAGTACAGTTGAAAGCAAATAAGTTTATCTCTCATATTACTTTTCCCTTTCGATTTATGCTGAATGAAAATTCATTATTTAAAAATTTTGATTAAAAATTTCTTCAAGTCTATTTTATTTAAGAATTTAGTTGACAGAAGCAAAAAGCAACTAACATAGAAAACAAAATAAAACACAACAACCAAACTAATTCAGAATGTAATCATAATATATATCAATAAAAATTCAATTAAATATTTCACACTACATTGAAAGTAGGGTGTCTGTGTTCTCTTCAAAATTTGCAAGCTGGCTTTTAAAGTACAATGTTTTACATGCTCTAATCACAAGCACTACCATGTACTATTCACTGTGTACTTACATAACCGTGGTAATATTTTCCTAAAGCTTGATGTTAAATATGAGTGACTCACTACTAAATGTACAAAGTCAATCTGAAATACGTTTCCTGTGGCTATCATAACATAGTTAAAACAATTATATACAATAATGAAATGAAAACCAATGAAACTAAAACATCAGATACGATACTACTGTCAAATAATTCTTAAGCTCCAATGAAGCAAAGCATTCTAGTATTACTCTAAGAATGCATGTACTTAAAAAAAATATATATATAACATATGTATATATGTGTGTGTATAAGAACAGAAAATAAAGACAATGGAAAGATAGTCCCTTCTAATGTAGTAATTTAGAATTCTGAAAATGTAATTTATACAGTCCTCTAACAAGTGAAAAGTTGAAAACCTGTTCATTGAATAGGTAATACAAGGTAAAAGTGAAAATGTACTCATCTTATCAAAATGATACATCTATACTAAATCTTCTTAAAAAGGTCAAATTAATTATTTTAGAATTTATTTTATTTTTTGGTACTGGGGATTGAACTCAGGGGCACTTGACCACTGAGCCACATCCACAACACTATTTTGTATTTTATTTAGAAACAGGGTTTCACTGAGTTGCTTAGCACCTCACTTTTGCTGAGACTGGCTTTGAACTCCTGATCCTCCTGTCTCAGCTTCCTGAGCTGCTGGGATTATAGGTGTGCGCCACTGTGTCAGGCTTAGAATTTATTTTAATAAATGATTACAAATATTAAAATACTCAAAGGAACAAAGCATTTATGCTGTAAAACAGTGCTGTAAATTTTATTATAACTGTCATTTTGTTCTTAATGATGAAAATCATACCACAGTTTCTTAAATAACATTGCTTGCGTTCTATAATAAACATATCTATATGCATATCTATATGCATCTGCATATATATATATGTGTGTGTGTGTATACACACACACATACTTCATAAAGTTGGTGCTCATTGTAGTGTACATATTCTAATTCTGACAAAGCTTTAACTTTTTACTTAATACTTCCATAGAAACCATGTGAATACATCGCATACCCTAAATTCGTATTTTTAAAAAAATTCTAAACATTCTTTTCAAGGTCTATTTAAAAAATATATATATATGTAACAAAAGTTACTGTTTTATCATGATTTAAGTGTTATCAAATTAAAGGACATAAGTGAAAAAAGATAATTGTTTTAATAGTTATAAAATAAAAAAATGCAATAACATGCGCCTGTATTACAAAGAAAGTGTTCACTTGTATAAGCAGCAGAAGATGAAAGCAGTATCATGGCAAATTCAGGATATATTTATGTATATCCTTGAAAATCACTTTCTTTTATATAATTTCCATTTTAATTTAAATGTTACATATTTTCAACTAACATTTAAATTAGTTTTTATTGTCAAATTTTAGTTGCTATAAGCCACTAAACAAATACCTTCAGAAAGTTGAAGAATAATCTTTCCTTGTATTATATAACTATATCACATTAAGTATTAATTAAATATTACATTTGAGACATAGGACAAATTCAAATTCAAGATCAATATTATGATTAGAAAGATTCATGGGGAAACTTGCAATAGGTAAATCTTTAAAGACTGTGTAATACTAAGGAAAAAACCTGCCTGGAATATTGCGGAGTGATAGATTTGACATTTTTCTGTTTCCCACAAAATCCTGGACTCAGTTAATAGCAGGAGGGAAAAAGGAGCAGCAGCATTTCAAATGTCCATACTCTGATTTGCAACAGACACCATATAGGTAAAAGAAAATCTCATTTTACTTCAGGTGGCATAAGTCTTTGAAACGAAGGCTCTATTATTTTTCAAGATTGAAAGGATATCACAGTGTTGATTTTATAAACAAAATAGGATCTGTTCCAGTATACTCTAGTAAAATAATTCACATATGGAGAATAGTTAATTTTGACCTCATGACAAAATCGTCCATATTTTGAGTAGGTTAACTTGTCACCTTCTTCACAAACCACCTATCAAAAGATAAAAAACTTGTTAAACTTGAAGGAGAAATGTAATCCATGTATAAATGACCAAAGTTACATGAAAAAAAAAAATTCTAAACATGGACTGTCAAATATGTCCCATTGTTAGCAAACACAAGCCTCTTCATAAGTGACTCACCATGCCCACTAAATGCTTTAACTTTCATCAGATTATAAAAGTATAAATTATCTCCAATTTTTAAAAGATTTAATCCTAAAATTTGGCAAGTGTTGTTTTTTTAATTCATTATCATTGTTCTGAAGAATCATACCATAGAGACTACTAAGGCTGAAAAATGAACATATCATACTCCTAATGTATATTCAAACTCTTCTTGTGCAGAACTGAGTCATAATTATTCAGTAAGCAAGTAAGTCTACATAAACTTTTCTATAAAAGTGCAAACCTTTATATTCTTATCTAATGATGTTCACTAAAACAGCTTAACTCACTTGACTTTTTTTTAAATTTACTCTTATGTGGTGCTGAGGATCAAACCTGGTGCCTCAACATGTGAGGCAAGTGCTGTACCACTGAGCTACAGCCCCAGCCCCTTGACTTTTATTTTTAATAATAAAATACTAAATATTATTCTAATGCCTTTGGAAAGATGACAGAGAGACAAATTTAAAAATAAAAGAATGGATTAGCTTAAGTCTATGCAGGACATTACATAAAAGACATAGCTAAATCTTTAAAACAGAGCATCCAAAAGCAGAATAGAAAGGCTCCACACAGCAACAATTATTGAATATTAATACTTACTTACATTTCCCTGTCACAATAAATCAAAGAATATAGCCATCAAGTATCAATAAAGAAAACTCAAGGGGCTGGGGATGTGGTTCAAGCGGTAGCGCGCTTGCCTGGCATGCGTGTGGGCCAGGTTCGATCCTCAGCACCACATACAAACAAAGATGTTGTGTACGCCGAAAACTAAAAAATAAATATTAAAATTCTCTCTCTCTCTCTCTCTCTCTCTCTCTCTCTTTAAAAAAAAAAAAAGAAAACTCAAAATGGTGCAGGGGCTGGGGATATAGCTCAGTTAGTAGAGTGTTTGCCTCAATGTATCAGGTCCTGGGTTCAATCCCCAGCACCACACACACACACACACACACACACACACAAAAAAAAAAATATACGTATGGAACATACAACGGAGGAAGTTTATAATGCAAGCTTAAGGGTCGTGAAAAAAAAAGATGGAAATCTCTAAAACTAATTTTTATTCTCCAACCTGGTCTTGGATGGTATAACAAAGAGCTATGATTATTTAGGAAGAGACAGAAAAAAATCTTGGCTGCAACATAAACAGAATATGCACTACATCTTAGGACAACCTGCTAAGCTTTTCCTAAAGCCCCCTCTCTCCACTTTTCTCAGGAGAAAAGGCATTCATTCTAGCCAACACTAATTATCAGATATACAAACTCCCCTGTCAGTCTTCTTGTTTAACGGATACAGTACATCCACTGCAGGCTGAGAAGCAAGTAAGTTTGGAAAAATAGCTGAAATTTATGTAAAACTTAAGATCCAGCTAGATCCTACCAATTAAAGTAGCACTGACTACATTAATTTTTGTGGATAACGAGGACTCATTAAATAGGCACTGTATTGATTTAGCAATCATCTTTTTCTAGATATGAATCAAATTACTTGAAACAATGCAACCAGAGGCTCTTTAATTTTTATTTTTTCATTTTGCATCTGTCTTCTTTTTTTCCTTTTTTAAAAATTTATATATGACAGCAGAATGCATTACAATTCTTATTACACATATAGACCACAATTTTTCACATCTCTGGTTGTATACAAGGTATATTCACACCAATTCGTGTCTTCACACATGTACTTTGGATAATAATGATCATCATGTTCCACCATCATTTCTAACCCTATGCCCCCCTCCCTTTCTCTACAACCCCTCTGTCCTATCTAGAGTTCATCTATTCCTCCCATGCTCCCTCTCCCTATCCCACTATGAATCTTATATCAAAGAAAACATTCAGCATTTGTTGTTTTGGGATTGGCTAACTTTACTTAGCATTATCTTCTCGAACTCCATCCATTTACCTGCAAATGCCATAATTTTATTCTATTTTATTGCTGAGTAATATTCTATCGTGATATATGCCACATTTTAAAAAATCCATTCATCTACTGAAGAGCATCTAGGTTGACTCCACAGTTTAGCTATTGTGACTTGTGTTGCTATAAACATTGATGTGGCTGTGTCCCTGTAGTATGCTGTTTTTAAGTCCTTTGGGTTTAGGCCAAGGAGAGGGACAGCTGGGTCAAATGGTGGTTCCATTCCCAGTTTTTCAAGGATTCTCCATACTACTTTCCATATTGGCTGCACCAATTTGCAGTCCCACCAGCAATGTATGAGTGTACCTTTTTCCCCACATCCTTGCCAAAACTTATTGTTGTTTGTATTCTTAATAGCTGCTATTCTGACTGGAGTGAGATGAAATCTTAGAGTAGTTTTGATTTGTGTTTCTCTAATTGCTAGCGATGATGAACATTTTTTCATATATTTGTTGATTGATTGTATATCATCATCTGAGAAGTGTCTGTCCAGGTCCTTGGCCTGTTTATCGATTGGATTATTTGTTTTTTTGGTGTTTAACTTTGTGAGTTCTTTATATACCCTAGGGATTAGTGCTCTGATGTGTGAGGGGTAAAAATCTATTCCCAATGCTCATAGATTGTTTCTTTTGCTGAGAAGAACCTTTTTTTCCTCTATTAGATGCAGGGTCTCTGGTTTTATTCCTTAAGTCCATGATCCATCTTGAGTTGAGTTTTGTGCATGGTGAGAGATAGTGGTTTAATTTCATTTTGTCGCATACAGATTTCAAGTTTTCCCAGCACCATTTGTTGAAGAGGCTATCTTTTCTCCAATGCATGTGTTTGGCATCTTTGTCTAATATAAGATAATTGTAATTCGTGGATTGGTCTCTGTCCTCTATTCTGTACCATTGGTCTACCAGTCTGTTTTGGTGCCAATACCATGCTGTTTTTGTTACTATTGTTCTGTAGTATAGTTTAAGGTCTGGTATAGTGATGCCACCTGCTTCACTCTTCCTGCTAAGGATTTCTTTAGCTATTCTGGGTCTATTATTTTTCCAAATGAATTTCATGATTGCTTTTTCTATTTCTAGAGGAATGTCATGGGGATTTTGATTGGAATTGCATTAAATCTGTATAGTGCTTTTGGAAGTATGGTCATTTTGGTAATATTAATTCTGCCTATCCAAGAGCAAGGTAGATCCTTCCCATCTTCTAAGGTCTTCTTTGACTTCTTTCTTTAGGGTTCTGTAATTTTCATTATATAGATCTTTCACGCCTTTCATTAAGTGGATTCCCAAGTATTTTATTTTTTTTAGGCTACTGTAAATGGGGTAGTTTTCCTCATTTCCATTTCTGAGGATTTATCACTGATATACAGAAATGCCTTTGGTTTATGGATGTTGATTTTATATCTTGCTACTTTGCTGAATTCATTTATTAGTTCTAGAAGTTTTTTTGGTGGAACTTTTAGGGTCTTCTAGGTATAGAATCACATCATTAGCAAATAGTGCCAATTTGAGTTCTTCTTTTTCTTTGTGTATCCCTTTAATTTCTATCATCTGTCTAATTGCTCTGGCCAGTGTTTCAAGAACTACTTTAAATATAAGTGGTGAAAGAGGGCATACCTGTCTTGTTCCAGTTTTTAGAGGGAATGCCTTCAATTTTTCTCCATTTAGAATGATGTTGGCCTGTGGCTTTGCATAGATAGTCTTTGTGATGTTAAAATATGTTCCTGTTATCCCTAGTTTTTTTAGTATTTTGAACATAAAGTGGTGCTGTATTTTGTCAAACGCTTTTTCTGCGTCTATTAAGATGATCATTTGATTCCTATCTTTAAGTCTATTGATGTGATGAATTATGTTTATTGATTTCTGTATGTTAAACCAACCTTAAATCCCTGGGATGAATCCCACTAGATTGTGGTGCACGATCTTTTTGATATGTTTTTGTATTCGATTTGCCAGAATTTTATTGAGAATTTTTGCATCTATATTCATTAGACTTACTGGTCTGAAGTTTTCTTTTTTTGACGTGTCTTTGCCTGGATTTGGAATCATGGTGATACTGGCCTCATAGAATGAGTTTGGAAGTGTTCCCTCTTTTTCTATTTCCTGAAATAAATTGGAGAGTACTGGTATTAGTTCTTCTTTAATGGCGTCTTCTATTTTGTCACTTGATCTGTTTAAATTGTATATATCATCCTGATTCAATTTGGGCAAATTATATGACTCTAGAAATTTGTTGATGCCTTCGGTATTTTCTATTTTATTGGAGTACAAGTTTTCAAAATCATTTCTAATTATCTTATGTATTTCTGTAGTGTCTGTTGTGATATTTCCTTTTTCATCACATATGCTAATAATTTGAGTTTTCTCTCTCCTTCTCTTCATTAGCATGGCTAAGGGTCTATTTTATTTATTTTTTCAAAGAATCAACTTTTTGTTCTGTCAATTTTTTCAAGTGTTTCTTTTGTTTTAATTTCATTGATTTCAGCTCTGATTTTTATTATTTCCTGTCTTCTACTGCTTTTGGTGTTGATTTGTTCTTCTTTTTCTGACGCTTTGAATGTAATATTAAGTCATTTATTTGTTGACTTTTTCTTTTCTTTTTTTTTTTTGATTTTATTTTATTATTATTTTTTTTAATTTTTTGACTTTTTCTTTTTTAAGGAGTAAACTCCACGCAATGAACCTTCCTCTTAGAACTGCTTTCATAATGTCAGAGATTTTAATATGTTGTATCTGTGTTCTCATTCACCTCTAAATTGTTTTTAATCTTCTCCTTGATGTCTTTTGCAATCCATTGTTCACTCAGTAGCATATTATTTAGTCTCCAGGTGTTGGAGTGGATTTTATTTCTTTTTTTTTATCATTGATTTCTAATGTCATTCCATATGATCTGATAGAATGCAGGGCAGTATCTCTACTTTTTTATATTTGCTAAGAGTTGCTTTGTGGTATAGTATAAGGTCTATATTTTAGAGAAGGATCCATGTGCTGCTGAGAAGAAAGTATATTCTCTCCTTGAAGGATGAAATATTCTATATATGTCAGTTAAGTCTAATTTATTGATTGTATTATTGAGTAATATAGTTTCTTCAGCTTTTGTTTGGAAGATCTCTTTAGTGATGAAAGAGGTGTGTTGAAGTCACCCAAATTTATTGTATTGTGGTTTAAATGACTATTGAACTTGAGAAGAGTTTGTTTGATGAATGTAGATGCTCCACTGTTTGGGGCATATATATTTATAATTGTTAAGTCTTGTTGGTGTATGGTTCCCTTGAGCAGTATGTAGTGTCCTTCTTTATCCTTTTTGATTGACTTTAATTTGAAGTCTACTTCAGTTGAAATGAGGATGGAAATCTCTGATTGCTTCTACAATCCATGGGAGTAGTATGATTTTTCTCAACCCTTCACCTTCAGTCTGTGGATATCTTTTCCTATGAGTCTCTTGAAGGAAGCATATTGTTGGGTCTCTCTCTCTCTTTTTTATCCAATCTGCTAGCCTATGTCTTTTGATTGGTGAGTTTAGGCCATTAACATTCAGGGTTATTATTGAGACAGGATTCATATTCCTCGCCATTTTTGTTTATTATTTTGTGTATTTAATGTGACTTGGTTTCTCCTCTGATTAGATTTTCCTTTAGTGTAATACCTCTCTCTCTTCTGATTTTCATCATTGTTTTTCATTTCTTCTTAGAATATTTTGCCAAGGATGTTCTGTAGTGCAGGCTTTCTAATTATAAATTCTTTTAACTTTTGTTTATCATGAAAGGTTTTTATTTCATTATCAAATCTAAAGCTTAGTTTTGCTGGATATAAGATTCCTGGTTGGCATCCATTTTCTTTCAGAGCTTGGTATATGTTGTTCCACGATCTCCTGGCTTTGAGGGTCTTGGTTGAAAAATCTGCTGATACACGGATTGGTCTCCCCCTATATGTGATCTGATTCCTTTCTCTTGCAGCTTTTAAGATTCTATCCTTATTTTATATGCTAGGCATTTTCATTATAATGTGCCTTGGTGTAGATTTGTTGTAATTTTGTACATTAGGTGTCCTGTAAGCCTCTTGTATTTGGTTTTCCAATTCGTTCTTTATGCTTGGGAAGTTTTCTGATATTATAAAATAATTGAAGAGATTGTGCATTCCTTTGGTTTGAAATTCTGTGCCTTTCTCTATTGCAATAACTCTTAGATTTGGTCTTTTGATGCTGTCCCATAATTCTTGTATGTTTGTTCATGATTTCTTACTGTCTTCACTGTGGGATCAACTTTATTTCCCAAATTGTATACTTTGTCTTCATTATCTGCCGTTCTTTCTTCTAAGTGATCTACTCTTTGGTTATACTTTCTATTGAGTTTTTTATTTGATTTACTGTAGCCTTCATTTCAAGAATTTCTGACTTTTTTTTTTTTTCAGAGTCTCTCTCTCTCTCTCTCTCAGTAATCTTTTGCTACCTGTATTTGCTCTCTTATCTCTTTGTTGGAGTGATCAATTTTTGCCTGTATTTGCTCATTTAGGTCATTCTTTAATTCCTCCCTTGTTTTTTCATGTTGTCTATGTATCTTCCTTTCTTGCAGTGTGGATCTGAGATATTACAGTTTCTTCCCTATATTCTTGTAGTACCCATGCAGATTGTCTGTACCTCACCTTGATGTTGGGCTTCCAGACCCTGCCGGTGTCCCTTAGTGTATGCTACTCCATCTAAGGTTGGTGGCGGCAATAGCAGAGGTAACTTGAGATAATAGTTAAGTTGCCCCAAGATGGAAGCAATGTCTTATGGAGATGGGGCTGCAAGAGTGGGCCTCACACTCCCTATGGGATGCCTGCTCTGAGATGCAGCTTCTTGTAGGCCCTGTCTATTGTTAAAAAGTTAGGGGCTACTGTGTGGGGAAGGCTATGGCGATGAATGCAGTGTCCCAAGATGGAAGTGGGTTAGAGTTAGGCTTAGGCTCCCAGGTGGGAGGGTGGGCGAATTCAGACCAACCCTGGACCGGAGTCCTGCACAAGTCAGTGTGGACAGATCTGGGCCGGGCCTGACTCCCGCGGTAGTCTGCTGGACTGAAGGGGTGGTCCTATGCCAAAGGCTAGGCTCTGGCAGTGTCTGCGCTGTTGGTGGAGCAATGAACTAGGGCCTACTGTGAGCCTGGGTACTGCACAGGCTGGTATGGGCTCTTTAATTTATTATAATATGTTACAATAAACCCATTATTTAAATCACATTATAGAATCTTTTGTTGCGAGCGGAGCCGGAGACGAAACCAGAGGCCGAACTCGGGATCTGACAAGATGGCCGGGCTACCCCGCAGGATCATCAAGGAAACCCAGCGTTTGCTGGCAGAACCAGTTCCTGGCATTAAAGCAGAACCAGATGAGAGCAACGCCCGTTATTTTCATGTGGTCATTGCTGGCCCCCAGGATTCCCCCTTTGAGGGAGGGACTTTTAAACTTGAACTATTCCTTCCAGAAGAATACCCAATGGCAGCACCTAAAGTACGTTTCATGACCAAAATTTATCATCCTAATGTAGACAAGTTGGGAAGAATATGTTTAGATATATTGAAAGATAAGTGGTCCCCAGCACTGCAGATCCGCACAGTTCTGCTATCGATCCAGGCTTTGTTAAGTGCTCCTAATCCAGATGATCCATTAGCAAATGATGTAGCGGAGCAGTGGAAGACCAACGAAGCCCAAGCCATAGAAACAGCTAGAGCATGGACTAGGCTATATGCCATGAATAATATTTAAATCGATCCGATCATCAAGTGTGCATCACTTCTCCTGTTCTGCCAAGATTTCTTCCTTTTTTGTTTGCATTTAATGGACACAGTCTTAATAGAAACATTACAGAATAAAAGCCCAGACATCTTCAGTCCTTTGGTGATTAAATGCACATTAGCAAATCTATGTCTTGTCCTGATTTACTGTTGTAAAGCATGAGCCGAGGCTAGAAGTATCATCTGGATGGTTGCGAAAAGTTTAAAAGCAGTGGCTCTCTGCTTTTATTCATTTCCCCCATCATGGTTTAAGTATAAAGCACTGTGAATGAAGGTAGTTGTCAGGGTTAGCTGCCAGGGGTATGGGTGTGTTTATTTTTTATTTTATTTTTTTGAGGGGAAAGGTAGTTTTATTTTAATTTTATGGACTCCTTTCACTCCCCTTTATGGTGAGCTAATTGCATTGGTTAAAAGCAGCTAACCAGTTCTTTAGAATATGCTCTCTAGCCAAGTCTAACTTTATTTAGACTCTGTAGATGGACAAGCTTGATTGTTTGAATCAAAATGGGAACATTAAACAAACATCACAGCCCTCACTAATAACATTGTGACTTTGATGTCAGGTGTAGATTTCCCCCCTTCAAAAAAAGAAAAAAAAAAAAGAAAAAACGTGTGACCATTTTGTATGGCTTGTCTGGAATTCTGTAAATCTTATGTTTTAGTAAAATATTTTTTGTTATTCGACTTTGCCTTTGTACAGTTTATTTTACTGTGTTTATTTCATTTTCCCAATGTGACAATCGTATTTAAAAATTAAAAAACTCTGATGAAACATTCTGTTTTGGTCTTCACCATCTGACAAATTGAATGGCAAGAGATTTTTGCCAGTTTCTTTTCACTGATGCAAACTTAATAATAATAAGAATTACTGAATGGATTATTTATAAATTGGCCCTGAGCATGCATAAAGCATCAATGTCTGGCTTTTTTTTTTTTAACCTCCTAGAAATTAAAAATAAATAAATGTTCGTTGTCTGATTTAGTTAGGCTATCATTGGTCTTGCCACAATGTTTGACAAATTACTGTACAGGGACAGTCACAGCAAAGAAAGCATTAGTGACTGACATGTAGGACTTTCGCATGTCGTGCCACATTTTTACCTCAGATGTGGAGTATGACCTTTTTCTTGGTTCCTATCTTTAAACTTCCTATGTGGCCACTGGTGTGTGTTATTAGGAAACACCAATCTGGTATTCATTTGGGGTTTGCTGAGGCATTTGAGTCTTCCTTATAGACCTAAGAGTGTATCTCAAACAACCAGTTTGCATAAGTGTCATCAGAAAGGTTTCTTCCTTTGAGAGCATCAAATCTTCCGTTAATGTGCTTTCACCTCCCTCGTATTTGCTTTGGAGCTCCTTTTATTCTTTGTTATTAGTAAATTTTTCTTCACTGACAGTTTCTTCCCTCACAAAACTGTTCTTTTTCACCTCTCTCCACATTTAATGCCTGATTCTTATTTTCAAGTCATAAATGTAGCCAGTCATAAATATGTAAATGTTAACCTTCACTTTGGAATCTTTTGTCTCTTGCAGTTTAAGGTAATGGATATTGTAGCCCCATCTGAATTTTCCTCACTCTTATTCTCATAATTTCTGGAGTTTCTTCAGAATGTGGTGTATTTTATTGTGCTCCTATGTAAGATGAAGAATTATCTATTAAAATTACGTTTTCAACATAAAAAAAAAAAGAATCTTTTGTTAACAAATACTGAATGAAACATGCACAAATACAGGCAATGAATAAAGACTGAATATTGGTAATTATTTTTCTTTTTTGCAAAAATGCCTTACTTTTTCTTTGTACATTGGAAAAAATACTTCAGCTGGATGTGGTAGCATACACCTTATAAGACCAGCGACTTGGGAGGCAGAGACAGGAAGACTCCAAACTCAGCTATTTAGTGGGGCCCTAAGCAACTTATCAAGACCCTGTCTCAAAATAAAAACATAAAAAGGGCCAATGATGTAGCTCAGTGTTAAAGCACACCCTGTATTCAATCCTCAGTAACAAACCCCCAAAACCCCAATATTTCAAACTAATTGTAATATGTGCTCCCATTAAGTCTTAGTTGAGTTCTAAAAATAAAACTTGGAGATTAAGTTTAAATAAAGTCATTAAAAAAAAACTTTCTGAATTATTACTTACGTGGCCATTTGCAACATCTAGCAAATCTTTAACCCTACAACCTCTCATGGTTCCCACTTCATTGCAGATAGCATCTTCCACAATTAGATAATTAGCTTTGTAGGATGTCAGTATTTTATAAATATCTTCAGCAGATCGCTTTGAATAGATTTGGTAAATCTGAAAGAAAATAATTAAAACTGATCTTAAAAGATATGTAAACTCCTGTTAATCAAAACTATACTAAGCAAGGTATGATGGTGCATGCCTATAATCCCAGCTGTTTGGGAGGCAGGAGGATCACAAGTTCAAGGCCAGTCTCAGCAAATTAGTGAGGCCCTAGGTAACTTAGTTAGAAACTTTATCAAAATAAAAAATACAAAGGACTGGGAATGTAGCTCAGTAATAAAGTGTCCCTAGGTTAAATCCCTAGTACCAAAACAAATAAAAAAACAAAAAACTATACAAACTGACCACCTACTGTGTTCTTAGTAGTACACAACACTTGGAGAAAATAAAGGTATTTACTATGATTTTATTTCTGCCCTTGAGAAGTTTATACTCATGTATTACAGTGATCACAATTAAATATAAAACAATTAGTAAAAATAATGTGGTATCTAATTAATTAGAAATCATATGATGTAATTCTGATAACCACCATATACAAAATAAGAAATGTTCACAGATATAAACTTGAAGGGAACATAGAAAATTGAAAAAGTTGTTTAGGGGCACTGATATGAGAGGTAGAATTTTTCTTTTTTAAAGAATGTAATGTTGAGCCAGACACCATGGCACATACCAGTAATCCCAGAACTTTGGAAGCTGAGGCAGGAGGAACATAAGTTCAAAGCCAGTTTCAGCAACTTACCAAGGTCCGAAGCAATCTGGTGTGTGCCAAGTACCAGACCAATAATTTACTTTGTCTCTACAAATATTAACTATTCTGGACATTTCACATAAAAGGAACATTACATATGTATTCCTTTGTGACTAGATTCTTTCACTTAGCACAAGGTTTACAAAATTCATTCATGTTGTAGCATGTATCAGGACTTCATTCCCTTTCAGTGCTAAGTAATATTCATTGCATGGATATTCCACATTTTGCTTATTCAGTCATCAGCTGATAAACATCTGAGTTGCTTCCACCTTTAGGCTATCATGAACAATGCTTCTATGAACAATCGTGTATAATTTTTTTGGTGGACATGTTTTCATTACTCTTGGGTATATAACTGGGAATAGAATTACTAGGTCATGTGGTAACTTTCTGACAATCTGCTAGACATGTTTCATGTTTCCAAAGCAGCTGTACATTTCATATTCCCACCATCAGCGTACAAGGGTTTGGTTCAGAGTTTTCCACATTCTTAACCCTACTTGTCCTTTTGATTTTTAGCTATTCTCCTAGGTCTGAAGTGGTATCTATTTGTGGATTTTATTTGTATTTCCCTGAAGGCTACTGAGATTGAGCATCTTTTCATATGCTCATTAGCCATTTGAATTAATTCTTTGGACAAATGTCTACTAAAGTCATTTCCCCATTTATTTATTTACTGGTGCTGGGGATTGAACCCAGGACCTTGTGCATGCAAGGCAAGCACTCTACCAACTAAGCTAAATTCTCAACCCTCCCCTAGTGGGCTATCTTTTTATTACTGAGTTGTAACAGGGCCTTAAATTTTTTATTAATCTGTATCAGAGTTTTTTATACTCATTTTATGCACGAGAGACACAAGAAAGTAAAAAAATAATTTGTCACACAATGCCAAGCAAGGATGCTTAAGATTCATGTTCTGATTCCATGGCATTTATTTATTCTTTAATTTAAAAAATATTTTTATTTTTAGATGATCACAATAACTTTATTTTGTTTATTTATTTTTATGTGGTACTGGTGATGGAACCCAAAGCCTCACAGGTGCTAGACAAATGCTTTACCATTGAGCCACAACCCCAGCCTGATTCCATAGCATTTTAATTACAACTCTGCCAACCCTATTAGTATCACATACTATTTGTCCTGAAAAATACTGAAATTTGAAGTTGTGATTAAAAAAGATTCCAATTTGTTTGTAGAATACTCAATAGCTGCCTACTATGTCTCATGGCTGCTGGCTGTCTAGCACCTTTCAGGTCCAATATCCATGGATGTTTGTGCTATACAAAATGCTAATACATCAAAAGAAATTGGTCATTCATTGTACTGTGAATAAGTTATAATGGGAATGATTCTATCTTACCCAGCTTATGTCTGATAGTTTACAAACATTTGTATTTATTTTATATACATATTTATTTTATTTGAGTTTAGGAAACTAAAACAGACTACCATGGCATTAAAAAAAAAAACTACTGTGGCAAGCTACAATCCAAGCTACTCAGGAAGCTGAAACAGGAGGATCGAAAGCTCAAGGCCAGCCTAAGTAACTCAGTGAGACTTTGTCTCAAAATAAAATATTTTAAAAAGGCTGGGGTATAGATCAGTAGTATAGCACTTGCCTAACATGTGCTAGGCCCTGGATTCACTCCCTTATACTGTACAAATCAAGCTAAACAAAACAAAACAAAAAAAAAAGAAGGAAAAAACCACGACTGTGTAATAGCAATATTATCACTAATAGCCTAGAGCAGAGTTTTTCAACCTTAGCATTGCAGACATTTCCGGCCAGATAGTTCTTTGAGATAGGAGGGAAGTTGCTCTACACATTGTAGGATGTTTACCAGCATAACCAGTCTCTACCTGTTAGATGCCTATAGAACCACCCCACACTTCCAGTTTTGACAACTGAAAGTGTCTCCATACACTGCCAAATGTCCCATAGGAAATTATACAAAGATTAGTCATATACTATAAATTAGAGATAATATCTAATCTAAATGATATGATTTCATTTATGATGTTCTATTTGGATTTTGATTAAACATTAAATGTATTTAGCACCTGCTATGTACCAGATATTATAGAGAAAGGCAAAAGTTTGGAAAGAAATACAAAAACAAAACAAAATCCATTGTTTTTATTCTCAGAGCCAAGTTCCATTAAACTTAAAACGCTAAAATGTTAAATTTAACTCTGACTTAATTACAGGTAACTCTGAAATTCTGTTTTAGGAATAAGTACTATCAAAAGCAAAAGCAAAAATACAGAGTTTTGTTTTGTTTTTGTTTTTTTTTTAAGATAGAGTGAGAGAGAGAAAGAGAGAGAATTTTTTTTTTAATATTTATTTTTTTTTAGTTTTCGGCAGACACAACATCTTTGTTTTGTATGTGGTACTGAGGATCGAACCCGGGCCGCACGCATGCCAGGCGAGCACGCTACCACGTGAGCCACATCCCCAGCCCAAGAGTTGTTTTTTTTTTTAAGTCTACAAAAACAAAAGTTCAGGAATATGCTCTCTATTCTGCCTAAACATTTCTACATCTTTGAAGCACAGAAAATACTAATCAGAAATGGCTGTTGCCTCTCAAGTAAATCACCCTCAGGTAGACATCATCTTTGATCTTTCCTGCACCTGTTTCAATTTGCTTTCTCAGCTGTGACCATAATTAACTCTCTAAAACAGCCCTACTCACTCCACTGTCAAACTTATTAAATGTCTTTCATGTCTCCAATTGCCTCAAGAATAAGTCTAAATTCTTCAGCATGACATTGCAGGCTCTCCAGAATTTTATTTTCTAATTTCATGGCCATATACATTTTTGGACTTGTGCCAGATATAGCAAGGCAAATCCCAGTGATTCTGGAGGCTGAGGCAGGATATCACAAGTTCAAGGCCAGCATCAGCAACTATGGAAAGCCTAAGCAACTTAGTGAGACCTTGTCTCAAAATAAAAAATAAAAAGGGTTAGGAATGTGGCTTAGTGGTCAAGCACCCCTGTGTTCAATCCTCACTACAAAAAAAAAAAAAAAAAAAAAAAAATTATTTACTTGTACTGGTTTTTCAGCCTGGAATCATAAGGATTCTTTTTCCAAACAAGTTTCCACTCAATCTTCCAGGCTCACATCAAGGCAAATGACCCTTATGATAAATTCTTAAGATTTCTATAGGCAGAACTGATTGCTTCTGCTTTTGAACTCCCGTTTGTAATTTGTGTACATGTACATACATGCATGTATATACAATTACAATTTAATAGTATATAACAAAAGCAAACTTTTAACAACAACACATCATCTGATTTAATTCTCACAAATAGGAGGTGAAAACTAATATTATTTCCAGATTCAGTACCATATACAAGGTTCCAAAGCTAAATAAGTGGGAGAACGAGCTTTTGAGTCCAATTCTAATTTCACATTCTGTATTCTTACCCTCTAAATTATACTTCTTCTTTAGTACTTATAAACTATATGAAATTTTCGCAAACTGAAAAACAGGATATTGGAAATCCAGGTTCAGTTTCAGATATAAAGTTGTCATTTAAAACTATAACAAACATTCAAAACAATATATGCTCCCAAAGGGAGAGAGGAGGGAAGAAAAGGAAGAAATACTGGGAAATAATACTGGCCAATTTATACTGTTATATTATGTGTATGCATAAATATGTAAAAACAAATCCCACTATTATGTACAACTATAATGCAACAATATGCAAAAAGTACATTCTTTACGATTAAAGATTAGATGGCATTCTAATATTATATTGAATTATTAATAAAAGCCCATACCAAAAAAATGAATTAGTTTTTTATAATCAGTAATAAAATTTTGGCTTGGGAAAACAAAATATTTCAAGATATTGACAGCTTTCCTTCAACAGACACACACACACATATATGTATTTGGTGCTAGGGAGTGAACCCAGGGGCACTTTACTACTGATCTACATCCCTATTTATTTTTAATTTTGAGAGAGGATCTTGTTAAGTTGCTTGGGGCCTTGCTAAATTACTGAGGCTAGCCTTGAACTTGCAATCCTCCTGTTTCTCTAGTTGCTGGGATCACAGGTGTGTACCACCATACCCAGATAGAGAACAAAGATATTTTCAAAAATAAGTTTCCCTTTCTTAAATACTATATGCCAGTTCCCTTAATATTTTTGGGGAAAATGAATGTTTTTCCTGGAAACATCAATAGTGTTGATAAAATAAATAATTTAATATTGGATTTCCTCGAGGTTAAAAAAATGTATTATACAGCTTTTAAAAACTAAAGCTAATTAACTCTTCTAAAATTATTTGGATTTTCCTAGTTAACTAGGAACATATGCATCACTATTGAAACTATTTAAAATATTGATTGTTGTAAAAAAGACCCAAGTATCAAATTTAAAATGTCTTACATTTTCATTTCTCTTGAGGAGATCGTCATCATTATAAAGAGGCAAGCTTGTCACCATCCATCCAGTGCATAATTTAATTGCACCCATTAACTGTGGACTCCCTGCAAACACAGCTGCAATTGGAGCTTGCCTTCTGCAAAGAACCAAAATATTCACACAATGAAAGGTAAGTATACTATTAAGTTCAGCAATTTACAACTCTGAAATACAAAGTAACTTACAATGTATAACACTAAAATTTCTCTATCAATTTTCATTTATGAATTCATTAAAAAGAAAGACTCAGCACTTACAATATGCCAAGCACTGTTTTGAATACTTAAATATAGAAGTTTTTTTAAAAAAAGAGGGAGGAGGAGGAGACAATAAAAATAAAGTTATGTCACATGGCAATAATGCTATAAAAGATAATCCAGAATAGATAATGCTAAGAATATACTATTGAATTTATAGTGATAACACTATAAATTATCAAATTCATCTTTTGCAAACATTAACCACCACAACACAACTCCTTTCAGATTAATTTACACTCCTACTCCTTTCTCTGTTTTTACCCTACATGATTCCAGATAACATATGTAGGACCTCTCTAACCTGAATCATCATCTAAAGGCCCAGACAGATGCTACTTACAAGGTGGGAAACCTACAAACAGGTCCTAAATGCATGCATCTATATATATATTTGCAGTGCTGGGTATCAAACCTAGGGCCTCACACCTGGTTCACCTCTACCATTGAGCTGTACCCTCCAGCCCTCCCTTCACTTATTTATTCACTTCATGTATTCAATGTTCAGCACCTATCCATGTCTAAGCATAGTATCAAGTTCTGAAAATAAAGAAATGGAACCTTGTCACTGTGCTCAGGGAGCACTCATTAGTGAGGAAATACATACAAGACAAAACAATTACACCACAAAAAGACATCCAACTGTCCAGGCCATTGTTATATTTTTGAAAATATTACAATAAATCACATACATCAATGTTGACTTCCTCTTTTGTTAATGATAGCACAAGACTGTACAGTCAGTGCATCCTCATAGTAATCACAATTCACAAAAGGTATTAATTAGCAATAGTTAAGGGTGATTTAAAGAAAACAATTCTTTACCAGGCACACAGCTATAAAACCAGTAGTTTGGGAGGTTAAGACAGGAGAACAGTTAAAATCCAGTTAAATCCAAGTTAAAATCCAGCCTCAGCAACTCAGCAAGACCCTAAGCAACTTAGTAAGACTCTGTCTCTAAATAAAATACAAAAAACGACTGAGGATGTGGCTCAGTGGTTAAGCACTCCTGGGTTCAGTCCCCAGTACCAAAAGGAAAAAAGAAAATTTTTATATATTTTTATATATACAAGGAAGATCTTTACAGTAAAGACATTATAAAGACCTAGTCTCATATCTACATACTTATTCTATAAGCCGATTCCTTATTTCTAGAAACATCTTTTGTCTTTCTTCTTCGTATTTTCCTGGTCTTTTTCAGTATTTCATTCCTTTTTGATATTTTTATTTCTTTGTTTACATCTTTAATAATTTCAATGTAATTATCTTATAGCTTCTAACCATGGGATAGGCTGATTACAAAAATGGACATAACAAATCCTCTTCTTATAGCCATGATCATAAAGGGAATGCTAGTCTTGATCATGTAATTTGCTTTAGCCAATTAGAAAATAACAAACACAATGTACATACAAATTTAAAACACATTTGACATTAAAACTTGCCCTCTCTTTTTGTTCTTGGTAACTCTACAACTACTATCTTATGAACAAACTCATCCTAATACACTAGACATATGGACAAATTAATTTGATCCCTTCGCCTAGTCAACACCAGATATGTGAAAGAGTTCACACCAGGTTATCCAGTTCCACCTGAGCTGGCCCAGACCAGGAGAAACCTCTCTGAAAATTGTGCCAAATAATAAATGTTTACTGCTTATAAGCCAAGAAGTTTTGTGGCAGTCTGATACATAACAAACACTGGATGACACAAATTTCATTTTCAGAAATTGGCAGAGGTCTAATGCTGCTGTTTATCACAAATATTAGCTGATACTTGCTGTGTTGAATTGTTACCTCATGTGTTTTGTAACTTTAGAGCTCACCTTCATGCAACTTTATGAAATCCTATGCAGCCTGGGTTTTATTTATCAGATATGCTAGCCAAACCCAGGACCACTTTTTTTTGAACTGGGGAACATTGAGCCCAGGGGTGCTTAACCACCGAACCACATCCCCCTGTCCTTTTATTTATTTATTTATTTTTAATTTTGAGGGTCTTGCTAATTTGCTGATACTGGCATTGAATCTGTGATCCTCCTGCCTCAGCTTTCCAAATCCCTGAAAATACAGGGGTATGTCATGTGTTGCACTTGGCACTCCAGTACCAGTTTTAATGCCAATTTCTTGATTGGGGTTTCCTAGACTAGAAAAGTATAATTTCAAATTATAAGTCCACATGAATTCAGATCCACTGCTACAAATTTAGAAAGGAAATTTTTTTGACCAAGAGTTGAAGCCAAGAGAGAAATACTTTCTTATCTTTTTCTATTACTTGGTGGATATTTTGTTATTAGATTCTTTCAGTGACAGCATAACCTTTTGAAAGTCCCTGGGTTATATATAAATGTGTTAAGCGGGGGTCTCAGTTCCAATTCTCTTGCTTCTAGAGGCCAAGACCACACCACCTGTTCTGCTTAGGCATTAAAATATAAATCCCTTGGTACTAAGACTGGCAATCAACTGTTCATTCACCTCCAGTCAACAATAAAAGAAGCATTTTCTTGATGCTTCTAAACATTCCTTTTTATTTCATATTTCTAGGTGTTTGATGTTAGAAGTCTCTAATCTCACTTATCAACATCGTATTTTCAAGTCCACAGAAGTCAGTTTCATTAGAAAATAGAATCACAAAGTTCAGTCAACACTACGTATGCCTAAAAATCATGGTGATAAAATTGATGAGTTTTATGAGAAATTGGAAAAGTACTAATTCATTATTTCCCTTGAATCCATTAGATAGCATGCAATAATTAGTTAATAGTTTAACAAACAGTCTTGGATAGTTCAATTCTTACTTTATCCAGGTCATAAGTTCCACTGTATCTGGGTCATAGAATTCCTGTAGTTCCGTTAATTCTGTCATTAATCTTGGAAAGAACTAAAATGCAAAACAAATCCCCAAAAGATGTAAGTAATTAGAAAGTTTAGAATTTCTCCAAAGTATCTCAAAAGACTAAAAGAGTTAATTTGAGGCAAATAATACAATAATGTTTTCATGACAAAAATGTCATTGATCTCTTTGCTTTCTTTCAGTGACCTGCTCATTCTTCTCAATCCAAATAATAATCTTATGGTTGATGCACTGCCTAGACTCAATAAATAATTTTATCAATATCAAACAATTAATATCAGTTCTGTATTTTATGCACACATACTAAACAAGTGAACAAATTTTACTTACTAATAAAACTTGTAAGTTTACTGGCAAGTAGTTTCATTTACATTATGATAAACCAAAGAATTTATATTATATTATAGATATTAAAATGAAGCGAATATTTTTAAACATTAAGACCTATTTTTCAGCAATTTCCTTTGCCAATTAGATACTGAATTTACAATCTTATTAGACTACAAAAAACAATATCACATGGCATTCTAAAAATGTAGTGGGTCTTCTGTTATAACTTTAAAAAAAAAAGCGTTAGTAACAACATCACACTTTGTTGTAATAGTTTTTTATTTATTTATTTTTTGGTCGGGGGGTACCAGGGATTTAACCCAGGGGCACTATAACACTGAGCTATACCCCCAGTTCTTATTTTTTATTTTGAAACAGGGTCTCCCTAAATTTTGTAGGACTTCATTAAGTTGCTGAGGCTGACCTTGAACTTGTGATCCTCCTGCCTTGTCTCTCCAGTGGCTGGGATTACTGGCGTTTACCACCATGTCCGGCTTAGAATAGTAAATCTTGATAAAAATTTCCTACACACATATATAAATTTATCATTACCAGCCAGGCACAATGGTGCATGTCTGTAATTCCAGCAGCTTGGCAGGCTGAGGCAGGAGGATTATAAGTTCAAAGCCCGCCTTGCAACTCAGCAAGGCCACAAGCAACTTAGTCAGACCCTGTCTCAAAATAAAAAAAAATAAATAAATGAAAAAAAAACATTATCTTGTACACTTCAGTAATTTAAGCTTCTGGTTTTCTTACCTCTTTCCATAAACTGAGACCTATTATAGTGGGCACAGCCATGCTCAAAATAAGAGCCTGAAATATCAAAGCAAAAAGGGTTATAGGTAAATATGAGTATACTTTAGAGATACTAGCAATGACTCTATGATCAACTGAATATCCTTTTAGTTATAAAAATTCCAATAATAGAAAGTGAAGCCAGTGAGATGAGGGATAATTAAAGAGTTTCAAACACTAACCAAGAGGTAAAGTGAGACACACATATTTACTACATAAATTTATAGCAGAGCATCAAAAAAGTAATGCTCATAATATTTCAAATAGTCAATCAATATTTGAAAATTTGTCAGGGACTTATGCCATTAAGAGTCTGAAAATAATTCTGAATTGCTATATGAAAAGCTAACAACAACAATAAGAAGACAATGAGCCAGGCAGGGTGGCACGTGCCTGTAATCCCAGCAATTTGGGAAGCTGAGGCAGGTGGATCTCGAATTTGAGGCCAGCCTCAGCAACTTAGCAAGGACCTAAGCAACTCAGTGAGACCCTTTTTCAAAAAAAGCAGGGGCTGGACCGGGGATGTAGCTCAGTGTTAAAAAGCCCCAGGGTTCAATCCCTAGTATGGGGGAAAGTAACAAAAAATAGCTAATAAATATACTAGTATGTTAAAATAAGAATGTATAAATTCTGGGAATAAGACTGGCAAAATATTATTTTTTGGGGGGGGGAGGATTTGGTATCAGGGATTGAACTCAAGATCACTGAGCCACAATCCCAGCTCTATTTTTTATTTTATTTAGACACAGGGTTTCACTGAGTTGCTTAGCACCTCCCTTTTGCTGAGGCTGGCTTTGAACTTGCGATCCTCCTGTCTCAGCCTCCTGAGCTGCTGGGATTACAGGTATGCACTTGGCTAACATGTACCTGGCTAACATGATTATTATTAAACATAACTCATCTTTCTGCCAAAACCAGTTCTTCCTACTGTCCCTTGTCTATTGTTAACCTAATGAACAATGATCCACAGTCATACAAACCAGAAACCTAAAGAATACCATCATTTCTACCTTATTTTTTTTTGGGGGGGGGGGGGGGTGAGGGTACCAGGGATTTAACCCAGGGTGCTTTACTAGTGAGCCACATCCCCAGACCTTTTTTTTTTTTTTTGGTACCAGGGACTCAGGGGCACTCAACCACTGAGCCATATGCCTAGCTTTATTTTGTATTTTGTTTAGAGATAGGGTCTCTTTGAGTTGCTTAGGGTCTTGCCGTTGCTAAGACTGGCTTTGAACTCTCAGCCTCCTGATCCGCTGAGATTATGGATGTGTGCCACAGCACCTGGCTCCCAGACCTTTTTATTCTTAATTTTTGAGACAGGGTCTCATTAAAATTGCTTAAGGGCCTTGCTAAAATTCCTGAGGCTGGCCTTGAACTTGCAATCCTCCTGACACAGCTTCCTGAACTGCTAGTATTATAGGTTTGTGCCACCTCACCCAACTCATTCCCCCAATACTTAATCAAGCACTGAGTCTTATTAATCTTTTTCTAACTACTTTTTTTTTTTTCATTCTAATATAGCACAGTATTTTTTCTTTTGTCAATGTGGCAAGAGTGTTAATCAAGCAGGCTTTTGTTTGACATTACTGCTTAAACCCAGGGGCACTTTACCACTAAACTATATCACTCGCCCTTTTTATTTATTTATTTTAAATTGCTAGGGCCTTGCTAAATTGCTAAGGATGGCCTCAAATTTGTGAGCCTCCTGTCTCAGTCTCATGAGTTGCTAGGATTATAGACATGCACTACTGTAACAAGCTCTCAAATAGGTTTTGGAGTCCAGATAAACCGGGATGTGAATGTTATGTGATGTTTATTTATGGTTTTCACATATAAAAGCTATATTATCTTAAACAAGTTATTTAAACAATTTTAAGCTTACTGTCTTTTTCTTCAGAGATAACAAAACTTAGTACTGAGTACCACATGAAATGCTTTAAAACAGAATCTGACACATAGTGAACTTTCAATAAATTGATACCTGTGTTACTTTCATCTACATGGCCTTTAAGCCTATCCTTAAAGAATTTTAAGAGTGAGCTAAGAGAAAATAGTTTGATTCTTATTCCTTATGAGACATAAAAGTCTCAATGCCAGGCTGGGGATATAGTTCAGTTGGTAGAATGCTTGCCTCACATGGATAAGTCAATCCCCAGCATCTCACACACACACACACACACACACAAAATAAACAAAATCTCAATGCCTTTCTACTGCCCATTAAAGACCAAGCTCTATTATATGATAATGGAGGCCACCATAACCTAATCATTTTTAAAATATTTATTTATTTTTTAGTTGTAGGTGGACACAATTCCTTTATTTTATTTTTATGTGGTGCTAAGGATCGAACCCAACGCCTCACGTGCACTAGGTGAGCACTCTACCACTGAGCCACAACCCCAGCCCATAACCTCATCATTTGACCACACTTATACTTCATGCTTTGTGCCAGTAAGACTAACTTTTTTGCTCATTTATTTCTTTTGATTGCATCATGTTCTGTTAGGGGAGATGTTAGGGTCGTAAACAAGCCAAGATGGCGCCTGGCACTTTGCCGGAGGGAGTGGTTTGAGAAGTAATGCCAGCGAGCCATTAAGATGATAGAGATTCCTTAATGACTGACTGCTATGTCTAGATTATGTCAATTAAGTTAAGCTGTGTAATCATTAAGACGATGATTCCTTATTGGTTGACTGCTGTACCTAGTTTATGTTAATTAAGAACAAGCTGTGTATTCAGTTATGTATATATACCCCTACTATCCTACAATAAAGGGCTCCACTCCCACTGCATCAACCTTCCACAAGTTCCTTGTCACCCCACCCCCGTTAGTTTGCCCAGCCAGACTGCAGCAATGTTCTTTTATCTTCTTCTGTTTATTCCTTTCACCATGAATACCTTTTTTTTTCTTCATTTGCTTCATAACTCATCATCTTTCAAATTTCAAACTGGAAAGTCACCTTTGAATCCCTAAAAATAAATAAACTAACCCTTCTCTATGTTCTAATAGCACCCTACGAATACTTTTTTTGTGATATGTTGGGGAAAGAATCAAAAGCCTCAAGCTAACTATGTTTTGTCTTTATTTCTTTTGACAAGCATATAGCAGGCACAATGAAAATGTTTCAGTACAACAAAAAACATACCATAGTTCTAAATCAAACCAAAAAAGATCTTTAATTTTTATAAGGTGGGTATGGTGGTGCACACCTGTAGTTCAGCTTTTTGAGAGACTAAGGAAAATCAATTGATCCCAAGAGTTTAGAGCCAATCTAGGCAACCCAGCAAGACCCTCTTAAAAATAAAATAAAGACCACCACCACATTACCTTTAATTTTTTTTTTTTTTTTTTTAAGCAGGGCAGCTACTTGGAAAGTTGAGGCCAGCCTGGGCAAAACTGTCTCCAAAAAAAAAAAAAAATGGCTAAGGATGTAGGGTAAAGAGCTTGCCTAATATGTGTGAGGATCTGAGTATATTATCCTAATACCAGAAAAATAAATAAATTAATAAATTTAAAAACTTTAATTCATTTCAGCTCAAGAGCAGTTAGGGAAAAAAATAGATAAAAATAATTCCTTATGGTTTCTCATAATACTGATTCACTTATATTTTTACCTTATATTTTTAAGTTGTATAGACTGAAATGCATTGATTTTACAATCAGAAATTATACAACAATGTTTTTCATAGGACCTGTTCTTCCACCTGGAAGTCACTGCGTGACTTATTCAGACTATATTGGATTGTATTCAATATGGTTTCTATTTATTAGCATTTGATATTACATAACTGGAAAAGAAACAAGTATTTAACACAAAGAAACAATGGCTCACCAACAATATTGGGTGTATAGTTCTTAATCGAAGCCACTTGAAAAGTGTCATCCAAAGTTCAGGGGAACATACACCAAATGCTGCTAACATGCACACATAAGGAGTCCAAATATATTTCAGGCTAGAAAAAATAAAAAAGAGTAATACATAAGGCATCCCATAACCATCATTATCTGACTTTTCTAAGTTCTTTCCTATTACAACAAAAATACCAAAACATTAAGGGAGAATGAAAAAACTTAGTCGGCACAGATGTTATGGCACACATCTATAATTCCAGCAACTTCGAAGGCTGAGGCAGAAAGATCTCAAGGCTGGGCTCAGCAACTTAGTGAGACTCTTACTCAAAATAACAAAAATAAAAAGGGTAGAGGATGTGGCTTGGTGGTAAAGAAACCTTGGGTTCAACTCCCAGTGCCAAGATAAGAAAAAAAAATTGTTAAAAACAATGGACATTATTTATTTATTTATATGTGGTGCTGAGAATTAAACCCAGTGCCTCACACATGACAGACAAGTGCTCTACCACTGACCCATAACCCCAGCACAGAAAAAAAAATTACCAATAGATTGTTACCCAATTCTTACATAATAAAACATGAGTTACCAAATGAGGATAAAATAAAAGCATTCACATTGATGCAGGTATAGCAAGATTGTACTCTTAGAGAGAATATAACTCTTTTCAGAATGAAATTCACCAGAACTTTTTAGAAAAATCCTGTGTCCTTGGATATAAATAATAAAATACAAAAAGCAAAATAAAAATCTTCATGTAGAGTGTTCCCTAGTTTTTTGCTTTTCCTTTTTTTTTTTTTTTCCTGGTACCAGGGATTAAACCCAAGGGTGCTTAACCACCAGGCCACATCCTCAGCCCCTCTTTTTTCTTAAAATATATTTATTTTTTAGTTGTAGTTGAACACAATACCTTTATTTTACTTATTTATTTTTATGTGGTGCTGAGAATTGAACCCAGGACCTTGCACGTACTAGGCAAATGCTCTACTGCTGAGCCAAAACCCCAGCCCTCCTCAGCCCTTTTTATATTTTATTAGAGATAGGGTCTGAGTTGCTTAGGGCCTACTAAATTGCTGAGGCTGTGTTTGAACTCACAATCGTCCTGCCTCAGCCTCCCAAATCCCTGGGATTATAGGTGTGCACCATTGCACCTGCACCTGGTTTTCTTTTTCTTTTGTTAAATGTGGATATATGATATAATGCCTGGAAAGTAGGATGTTATTTTTTAACTTCATATATTTCTTTTTTTTTTTAATTTATTTTTTAGTTGTAGGTGGACATAATATTTTTATTCTATCTTTATGTGGTGCTGAGGTTTAAACCCAGTGCCTCATGTGTGCTAGGCAAGCACTCTATCACTGAGCCACAACCCCAGCTCCTAACTTCATATATTTCTATACTATATATATTTCTATATTATTCTATATTTATTATAATCTATTTGCTACTTTTGAGATTAATTTTTTAAAAAGCAAGGATCTGTACTGGCTGTGGTGGTATATGCCTATAATCCCAGCTACTCAGGGGGATGAAAGAGGAGGATCACAAGTTTGAAGTCAGCCTTGATAACTAAGCAAGACCTTGTCTCAAAATAAAAAAATAATGCTTTTTCCGCATCTATCAAGATGATCATATGGTTCTTATTTTTAAGTCTATTGATGTGGTGAATAACTATTATTGATTTCTGTATATTGAACCAGCCTTGCATCCCAGGGATGAATCCTACTTGATCATGGTGCACAATTTTTTTGATATGTTTTTGTATCCGATTCGCCAGAATTTTATTGAGGATTTTTGCATCTAGGTTCATTAGAGATATTGGTCTGTAGTTTTCTTTCTTTGAAGTGTCTTTGTCTGGTTTAGGAATCAGGGTGATGTTGGCCTCGTAGAATGAATTTGGAAGTTCTCCCTCTTTTTCTATCATGAGTTCAAAGCCAGCCTCAGCAAAAGTGAGGCACTAAGCAACTCAGTGAGACCCTGTCTCTAAATAAAATATAAAATAGGGCTGGGGATGTGGCTCAGTGGTTGAGTGCCTCAGAGTTCAATCCCCAGTCCCCTACCTCAACCCCGAAAAGAAAACAAAAAGAGCCTGTCTTCAGAGGAAATAGTAAAAACTGAAGATGGAAGAGGAAGAGCTAGAGTATAACTGTGGTAATTAATGCTGAGGAGAACATCCAGACCCTTCCATGAAATATTTGTTGGTGTTAAACTCAGATAAGACTAGAAGAATGTGAGGTCAGATATAAAAATCAAATCTCATGGTTTTGTAAAACAGCAAAACTATGAAATAAAAAAATATTCATTTATTTAATAATGAACATTGACTGATCATCTACTGTAAGCTAACCAAAGTAACAGAAAAGAAGACAAAAAAGTCATGGCAATAGCTCTCAAGGAGCTCTTTCTCAAAATGAAATAAAACCAAACAGGGCATGTACAACTATAGTACACCAATTAAAAAAGATGAAAAAAAAGAGGAAGCAAATAGGAAATAGATATAAGAAAAATTACATAAAGTCTAGGGTTAGGTAAAAGTGAAATAACTAAATATAGTTTATATAGATAAATATAGTTAAATGAAGGTTCTTTAAAAAACTGAATGCTGAGCTGAAGGTGTAGCTTAATGGTAGAAGACTTGCCTAGCACAAGTGACGTCTGGGTTCAATTCCTCAGCACTGCACACACACAAAAAGTATCATAACCTAGGCCTTGAGAGAAGTGGCAGACACACATAGAATACGTACTAGTAAAGACAGAAACTGTATTAATTTTCTGGGGGGGAAGGTCAACCAATATCTCCTCCCAACTTCACCACTTCCGAAAATATCAACCTGTTCTTCCGGTTAGCTAGAATAAATACTAGGGTTGCTTGACGGTAACAGAGAGCACCATTCACGTTGAGTTATATGTATACTACCATCCCTGGAATACAATACATCTCTGCTCTAAGGATCAGTCCATTGGTGCCAAACCCACTGGTTGATGCCAGCTCCATGGAAGTGAAGGTCTCCTTCCCTTCCGTACCATTTTATTGTAAGAGTAACATTTCTATCTTTTATCTTTACTCTGTCCTCCAATTCAACCAAATGCTAGATGAATCTTTTTCAAACAACTCTAAGATACTTTCTGTTAAAAAATCCTCAGTGTAGCCTAGCATGGTGGCACCTGTAGTCCCAGCTACTTGGGAGGCTGAGGCTAGAAGGTAACTTGAGTGCCAGAGTTTGGGCCCAAGAATTTGGGCAACTTGGACAACACAGTGAGACCCATCCCTATTTTTTTTTTTTAAAAACTAGAAACTTCTAAAGATGGTAACATTTCCCTCTTTCATTTAAAAAAAAAAGGATGAGGGCTGTGGGTATAGCTCAATGGTAGAGCTAGCATGCGAGAGGCCCCAGGTTCAATCTAACATCACAGAAAAAAAAAAAAAAGAAACAAGAAAGGGATGAGATATTCTTATATTTACAGATATTACAATATGAGAATAACTAACTCTAATTAATAGGCAAAAAGCCTCATGTATTCTTTCTTTATACTTCTTAAAAATTTTTTAATTGTAGTGGGACACAACATCTTTATTTCACTTGTTTATTTTATTTTTTTTATGTGGTGCCTAGGATCGAACCCAGGGTCTCACATGTGCAAGGCAAGTGCTCTACCGCTGAGCCACAACTCCAGCCCTCTTTATACTTATTTTCAGGCTTCTTACTGCACTAGTAAAGGATTAACCTTGCCCGAAGAAGAGATATGACTGTTGCCTTCCACTCCTAGGAAGCAACTAACCTCTTATCTGCTTAGAGTATCTCTGTTTAACTGGGATGTTGGGTTATACCTGAGAGTTTATGCTAACAATGTGATTTATGGTGGGGACCTTGGGCCACACAGGTAGTCAAACACATTATGTGACAAAGCCTCAATAAAACCTGAACAATGGCTCAGCTGAATTTCCTTGATTGACAGTATTCTGTGTATAATGTCATGCATTGTTCCTGAGAAAAACAGGCACTGTCTGCACAACTTTACCAGGAGGTGACAACTGGTTTTCTGTGCCCTGGTGTCTCCTGGGCATAGAAGTAAGAGTAGACATAGGGAATCCTGAATGCTGCATTTATCCTCTTAGACCGTGAGCTTCTGGAGAAGAGGAATTCCATCTTATATACTTTCATATCTCTCACCATTGCTAAGAGTGACTTTTATTGGAAATCTAGAAACTTCTGTTCAGTGAGTATGTTCTTTTTCTCTTCCTGGGGATTGAACCCAGGAGCACTCTACTACTGAGTTATATCCCCAGTCTTTGAGATGGGTCTCACTAAATTGCTGAGGTTGGCCTTGAACTTGTGATACTGTTGCTTCAGTCTCCCAGGTGGCTGGGATTACAGGAATGCACCACTGCACCCTGCTCTTTCAATGTTTTAATTAAATTTATTAACAAGTTGGTGTGATTTTCAATAGGAGCAGGAATAAGAGGAGTTTGAAAATTAAAGATTTAAAAATAGTGTGAGATATGTTCCAAGCAATCAAACCCCTAAAGAATTATGATATAACATATATGAATATGAATATAGTCACATGCTGCATAGTGATGTTTTGGTAAATGATGGACTACATGTATGACAGGGATCCAGTAATATTATATCACCTAGAGAAATTATACTAGGCTTAGGTTGTGGGAGCATACTCTATGAAGTTTGCACAATTTAACAATGCATTTCTTAGGATGCACCCAGACATTAAGTGACATATGACTATATATAAATACTGATTTGCCAAAACAAATTTATGAAGGTATGCAGAACATTAAAATTATCAAGCAAATAAAACAGAAATATTCTATCTTTCCGGGAACAGTGCACACCTGTAATCCCAGCAGCATGGAAGGCTGAGACAGGAGGAGCAAGAGTTCAAAGCCAAGACTCAGCAACAGTGAGGCGCTAAGCAACTCAGTGAGACCCTTTCTCTAAATGAAATACAAAATAGGGCTGGGGATGTGGCTGAGTGATCGAGTGCCCCTGAGTTAAATCCCTGGTACCTAAAAAAAAAAAAAAGAAAGAAATATCCTATCTTATTGTACATTAAATGGAATCCCACTTATATTTCACTGAAGGTTCATTTGCCATTTAAAAGCAATTTTTTAAAAATAAGGAGAGTAAAAGGATAAAAGAAACAAATAATAACCCTAAAGTCCTCAACAAGTTCTATTGCAAACTCAATGCACTTCAGCCACACTGAGCCCCATGTCATTTCCCCCAACAATGTGCCATGTTCCGTCTCACTGCAAAGTTTGTCATATGCTAGTCTCTCTACCTGGAATACTCTTCCCTCTTCTGTTTACCAACTTCACTCTTTCTTAACTTTCAGGTCTCACCTCAAGCATCTTTTCCTTAAGAGAGCCTTTCTGATCTCTTTAAACCAAATTCTGTTTTTTCAGCGTTCTCACCTCACCATTTACCTCTCCTTTAATCATTATGATATAAATTTTAAAAAAATATTTATTTTTAGTTGTAGATGGACACAAAATCCTTATTTTATTTTATGTGGTGCTGAGGATCCAACCCAGGGTCTCAAACGTGCTAGGCGAGAGCTCTACTGCTGAGCCACAACCCCAGCTCTACCTTGGAACATTCAATGTTTTTGAACACATTAATGAATAATAAAACATCAGTTCACTATCCCATAAAGATCACCTGTAAACTCCAGTTATATAAGAAAATTTACAAGTTTTAAGTTATTACAAAGTTTTATGAATGTATTTTTGAATGTACCCACTTATTATCATTAGGAAGAAAAATCTTCGTAAAAAACAAACAGATAAAGTAAACTTACCCTTCTATAACCATTGCAAGAGAACCCAATAAAATAGTGTGAATTACATGATATATTATTTCTGGTCTTTCTCCAATTCGTCCATCTTCAAGAGTAACAGTTTCTTTCAGGGATTTACCACTATAGAAACGAAATGTTTTTTAATACCTTCAGAATATATATTTGAAAAATCAAAGATACACTATTTATCATCTTTGAAAGTCATACTTAAAATTTTAAACTTTTTATAATAAAAAAGTATAGGTGGCTGGGTACAGTGGTGCACACCTATAATGCCAGCAATTTGGGCGGCTGAGGCAGGAGGATCACAAATTCGAAGCTACCATTTGCAACTTAGCGAAACCCAATCTCAAAAAGTTAAAAAAAAAAAAAAAAAGCTGGGGATATAGCTCAGTGATAGAGCATTCCTGGGTTCAATCCCCAGTACCCCCCCAAAAAAAGAAAAAAAGATGGTCCTTAAAATTTGAAAGTCTATTCTGCTAGTCAAATATCTAGCATATATCTCCAAGTCTTTGCTAATATCTTTTTTTCTAATTTTTTTTGTTATTGATTGACCTTTATTTTATTCATTTATTTATATGTGGTATTGAGAATTGAACCCAGTGCCTCACACATGACGCAAGTGCTCAACCACTGAGCCACAACCCTGGCCCTGTTAATATCTTTTAGAGCCTAAAGACAACTGACTCTAAGAAGACTGTGGATGAATTTTCAGACTACATATGAATTTTAAATTCCTTTTCCAAGACAAATTATGACTCACTTAACGATTACTAAGCCAATATAGTTAAATAATATAAATAAGATCTTAAGATCAAGAAATTACATAAAACCTTTCAAATATGATAAACAAATAGTTAAACACTGTAACAATTCAAAAATCACTTAAACTACTAGTTCATTTCAATTAGTAGAAGAAATCATTCTTAGATTCAATAAAATTTGAATAAATTACTAAATGAGTCTATAAAAATTTAACCTATTATTTAAATATTACTCTCATATGAAACCAGGACTCTACATATCTAAATGTATAAAACTAAACATAAATTTTTCTGATCAATAATAATGCCCAATGAAGAGAAAATAGAATTGGAAGCTCTAAACCAAATATAGAACTAGAGGGCATGGTGGTGCATACCTGAAGCTGAAGTCCCTGCTACTCAGGAGGCTGAGGCAGGAGGATTACTTAACTCCAGGAATTTAAGGCCAGCCTGGACAACACAGGACAACCCCATCTCTTAAGAAAATCAAAAATAAAAGAGGTAGGGTCTAGAGCATTCAGAAGGCCTTGGTTTCAATCCCCAGTACTAGAAAATACACACCCACATACATACAGAAAGGATATTGAAAGCAAATATTTTAGCTAGGCATGGTGGCAAATGCCTACAATCCTAGCAACTTGGAAGGCTGAGGAAGAAGAATGGCAAGTTCAAGGCCAGCCTCAGCAACTTAGCGAGACCCAAAGCAACCTAGTAAGACCCTATCTCAAAATAAAAAATAAAAAGGGCTGGGGATGTGGTTCAGAGGTTAAGCACCCTTTAGTTCAACCCCCAGTAAGTAACTAACTAACCAAATAAATTTAAATATCATATATTTCCATAACATATTAGTAATGGGATTGATTCTTAGAAGAACTTACTTAATTCTCCTAATAATAACTTGTGTCATAGAAAGAAGACAAATTATTAAGACTAAAATATAGAATGGTAATAAAGAAGATTGTGTCAATCGCAAAAAAAAATCTTGAGATGGTGCCTGGAGGGACTCTTGACAGAGGAGCCAATTCATTGTAAAATTCCTATAGAAGACAAAAAGCATGATATTAAAACCTCAATTGTTTAAGGTACTGGATATAAAAGTAATTTTTAAAATCTCAGTAAAAACTAAGACAAAACATATTTATTAAGTTGATTTACTTACAATAACAAGGTTCCATTTTTTATAAATAAAGATAACATTCATAACCCTCCTCTAGAAAGCACGTACTTTCATCACAACTGCTCCAATAAATGTAAAACTGTTTATTTTTATTACCAAATAATATAACCATCTCTGAAGCCCAATAAATTCTGGGGGGATTTATGATTTCTATTTTTATCCAGAAGACAACAAAAAATTCAGCTATTAGGTGTCCCCCAAAAGTTCATGTGTGAGACAATGCAAGAAGATTTACAGGTGAAATGATTGGGTTATGAGAACCCAATCAGTGAATTAATTCCTTGATAGGGATTAACTGGTAACTGAAAGCAAGTAGAGTGTGGCTGGAGGAGGTAGGTCACTGGGGGCATGCCTTTGGGGTTTATATTTTGTTGTGGTCAAGAGAGCTCTTTCCCTTTGCTTCCTCGTGTGATGTCCTTAGCTGTGTTCCTCTGTCATGCCCTTCTGCCATGATGTTCTGCCTTATCTTAAGCCCAGTCAGTCGTTTATGAATTGAGACCTCTGACACTGTGAGCCCCAAATAAATTTCTCCTCCTCAAATTGTTCTGTCAGGTCTTTTGGTCACAGCAGTGAAAAAGTTGACTAAAACTCCAACCTCTATGTCTACATTGATCAATATGACAGCTACTAGACACAGGAGGCTGTGGAACACTTGAGATGTGGCTAATTCAAATTGAGAGATACTTTAAATACAAAAATACTCTGAAGATTTCCAAGAAAACAAAATGCAAAAAAGAACAAAATAACTTAACAACAATTCCTATAGTTTATACATTAATATGATATTTTCTATGTGCATTAAAGAAAATACATTATTACAACTAATCACTTGTTTCTTTTACTTTTTTAATATGGCTATTAGAAAATTACAATTATATACATGGTTCATACTGATAAATGTAACTCAACAAGCACCCATTTTAAACAGTGATTTCTATTTAATAAGACAAAAATTATAAAATTTGAATTATACTCTTTAGAGCTATAAGAATTAAGATAAACTTTTTGACCCTAAGGCTAAGTATGATCAATAACACTCCTAGTTACATGTATTTTTATATGTATCCTTACTTCTAATCCATCTCCAACCTCCAATCCTCAATTCCTAAATGAAGTGATGTTTAGGAGTGCTCAATGGACTGAAAATGCCTACACTTCACAAATCACTGAATTTAGGATAGAAGTTTAAAGTTTAACAATGTATCAGATACAGCTGTCTTTGTTTTTTTTGGTGTCAGGGATTAAACCCAGGGGCACTTAGCCACTGAAACACAATCCCAGCCCCCACTCCCCCCGCTTTTTTTTGCCTTTATTTTTATTTATTAATTTTATGTGGTGCTGAGGATTGAACTCAGGGCCTCGCACGTGCCAGGCAAGTGCTCTACTGCTCAGCCACAACCCTAGTCCCCCTTTTTGTTTGTTATTTTGAGATAGGGTCTTGGTAAGTTGCTGAGGGTCTTACTAAATTGCTGAGGCTGGCCTTGAACTTGCAATCCTCTTGCCTTGGCCTCCCTAGCTGCTGGGATTATAGGCATGCACCGCCATGCCTAGTTTAGACACAGCAGTCTTAAAGGGGTTACCATCAAAATATCTTGCAGCACCAGGCATTATGGCACAGGTTTGTAATCTCAGATACCTGAAAGGCTGAGGCAAGAGGACTGAAAGTTCAAAATCAGTCTTAGCAATTTAGCAACGCCCATTTTTTTCCTATATATTATAATATCCCAAATTACTCATTTTCTAAGCAATATATAATTAGGTATATTGTCCTTCTATTGAGTATTTTGTTCCTTATTTTCTAAGTAAACTTACATAATCTAAAATCTAAACTTAGGTAAAATTACATAATCTAAAACTTACTTAGTCATATTTAGTCCAAATTTTACTTCAAGGAATTTCAGCATGTGTCCATTTTCTTTGTGTGGTACAAACATCTAAAAGAGAAAAACAGTAGTTTAACAAAGAAATACTAGCTATAGTTATAGCAATATACATTTTCCCTAATTACCAGAGACAGAAAATACAGCAGGACTACAAAAATATAAATTAAAATAATACATGGCAAAAATATGAAGCAAGATTACTGTAATAGATTAGATTGCTGAAAAAAGCAATCATATTACCTTATTATGCTTAAGCATAAAAATTATAATGGATAGTAAGAATATTTCGACCTTATTCCACCTGACTCAAGTAACTAATCAACTTTTCTGAATATTTTTTATTTGTCTTAAATTACTTACTACTAATTGGGTAATATTGACATTTTATTTCTTTTCTTTTTAATTTTTTTTTTAGTTGTTGATAGACCTTTATTTATTTATACGTGGTGCTGAGACTCAAACCCAGTGCCTCACACATGCCAGGCAAGTGCGCTACCGCTGAGCCCCAGCCCCAGCCCAATAATAACCATTTTAAATTAAATTGAAAACAAAGTGTATTTCCTTCCTTGCTCGCTCGCTCCCTCCCTCCCTCCCTCCTTCCCTCCCTCCCTCCTTCTCTCCCTTCCTTCCTTCCTTCCTTTGTTTAAAGTATATGGAGAAAAGAAAAGAATCCTATTTTCTCACCCAATGTGCTAGTGATAATCATTGTTCGACTCAAAATTGTGCTGATAACTAGGTGTGATGGTGCACACCTGTAATCCTAGCTACTTGGGAGGCAAGATGGAAAGACTACTTGAGCACAGGAATTTGAGTTCAGCAAGGGCAACACTGCAAGACTCCATATCAAATAAATAAATGAAAATTATACTATATAAACTCTATTACTTTGCTATCTTATTATTTTCATTAAAATTTATTAATATATTTCATTTTTCAACTCTACTACATGAAAATAAGACAGAGTTACTTACCTTCATTATAATATTCAATGTCACTGTCAGAGTGCACACCAAGTAAAAATTAATCACTTTCATTATTTTAGCTATAAAAGTTCCTTTCTTCACATTCAGCTATGGGGAAAAATTAATATGAAAAACGACTTAGTAATTTAGAAACTGCCAGGTATGGTGGTACATGCCTGTTAATTCCAGTCACTGGGGAGGCTGAGGCAGGGGGATCACAAGTTTGAGACTAGCCTCAGAAACTCAGAAATACCCACCTCAAAATAATAAATAATAGGCACATGCCTATAATCCCAGTGGCTCAGGAGGCTGAGGCAGGAGTATCCAAATTCAAAACCAGCCTCAGCAACTTAGAAAGTTTCAGAACAACTGAGCAAGACCCTGTCTCAAATAAAAAATAAAAAGAGTAGGGATGTATTTAAGTGCCTATGGGTTTAATGCTCAGTACCAAAAATAAAAAATAAAAATAAAAAAGGGCTTGGGATGTAGCTCAATGGTAAAGAACCCTTGGAGTCAATCCCTAGTACCACTGAAAAAAATTTTAATAAGAATGATAGAAAGGCAATGTTAATTACCTGAAGGCACTTAGTAAGCATTAAGGCTGCTACTAAACTTAATAAAGGAGATACCAATAAAGCTGGATTCTCAAACTGCAGTAAATATCCCAGAAAGAGAGAAAATATATAGATTTTATACACTTCATGAACCTGTTGGAACAAAAATAAAATGAGAATTAAGTAAATTTTATTGTATTTCTTTTTATTAGTTTTGTTTAGGATAGATCTGACTGCATTTGTACCATAAATTCTATACTACAACTTAAGAGTGTTATGAAATGTTTAATTTGTATTTTTAATGTTTTGGCTTATAATACCCTTGTCACTTTCTTCTTAGAACTCTCCAGAAACAAGGTAAGAAACTTCAAAATCCTAAATATTGAAATCAGACTAGAAGAACCTTCTTTAAGGTTCTTCATTTTGTTTACCCTAACCAAGTGTGTGAAAATATAGGGCCATGGAATATGCCATTGCAGAAAACTATTTTTATCTACATTTATGCTACATCTACATTTCTTCTTTTCCAGTTGGTTCCCCTTCATCAATAGAAAACGCTAGAAGCAAAGTGCAAGGCTGGACAAGGAAAGAGTAGCCTGCTCTTCCCTCTTGCTTCCTATTGTCTTAGGATTCCCCTGAGCCACATTTATGTAATACTTCTTTATCCCAACATCTATTCCTTCCTATTGAAGCTCTGAGTGCAGTTGAAGTTGTTCCAACACTTGAAAAACCAACTTCATCACATCCTCCAGATTTAGAGACCCAGGACCTGCTGGCCAAACCTCTATCTTCAGAGACCTAAACTCCAACAACAAAGGCCCTTTATTTGAGCCCAGAGACACCACCAAAGCTAAGCAGTAGTCCTCCTCAGAATCCTGAGTTTCAGTTCCCTGGAGTCCCTCCTTTAATTTTTTGCACTTTAATAACTCCATATTCTTTACTTCACTCCTTTAGCACTAATGGTGGTAGCTACTTCCTGTAGTGACTACCTTCATGATACTTATTACCTCTTATTACCATTTCAATCAATCAATTAATAAATAAATGACTTTAAACTTGTTTAATAACTGTTTTGGGGTTTTTTTTTTGGGGGGGGGTGTATGGGTTTTTTTTCTGGAGCTGGGTAGTGAACTGAGGGCCTTGCCTGGCACACCCTCTGCCACTGAATGTTATCTCCAACTTGTTTAACAAATCATGTTAAATTCCCTCTGTTTAAATAACTTAAATCTTGATACTCATCAGGATTCTGAACCAGCTGAGTGTATGGGATGAATAAACAAAAGAAAGGTGTTAAGACACAACACTGCAAAAAAATGTATTCTCTGGGTTTAAATTCATCGTTTCAAAATGTCATCATACCTTGTCACTTTGGTCCACTGAAAAGATATCTAGCAGGAACAGAGATATTGCTTGAAGAAACAAGAGATAATGGCTATACTCCCACATCATCATAAAGGTGTAAGTTGAAGCACTCATCAACAAGTAGCAAAACCTCTAGGAAAAACAAAAGAAAGAAACTATGTATCAGTAGCTTTATTATTATAAAACCCCATGAGTTTGTTACCTCAAAATTACATTTCTGTTACTGGGTCAACTTTAAGCCATATGAATTCTTCAAACTATTTTTAAATCACATAATTCTCACTAAATCCTTACAATAATAATAAGGCACTCTCTAGAGAAATCAACCATTTGTCCTTCAACATCCCATGGACTTTTTTTGGTATTAGGGACTGAACTCATGGGCACTCCACCACTGAGCCATATCCCCAGCCCTATTTTGTATTTTATTTAGAGACAGGGTCTCACTGAGTTGCTTAGTGCCTTGCTGTTGCTGAGGCTGGCTTTGAACTCATGATCCTCCTGTCTCAGCCTCCAGCCGCTGGGATTACAGGCATGTGCCACCACGCCTGGCAACATCACGTGGAAAAAATCTCAGTATGACAAAGAGAAAAAAATAAAAGAAGAAAAATCAGTACAAATATCCTTTATCCCCGAAGAGGTAAAGCAATAAATATAAGAAAATGGTGGCTTTTATTAGACTTGAATGGTGAGCTTTTGTTAAATGTGGAAGTAACTCTTTTTGCTCTGAAAATAATATTTTTATTTCCTTGGAGATTCACATTTTCCTAAAAACTATCATTTAAAGAATCTATGTGTCAGCCTAAACTAAGCCCTGATTTTTACTCTTTTCATTTCCTTTTAACAAAAGTATGGTCTTAACTTTTCCAATGCTTGGACTATAAAACATATAAACTCAGCTGTTTTCTTCTACCAAATACTAAACAGGAATTTCATTTCCCTTGCTTGAAATATTCCTGGATAAAATCAATTGTATCCTTCCAATGCCATCTCCCAAATGATCCCTTAGTGAGTAACCAAGTCTTTGACAAATCCATTGTTATGTAGCATATTTCAAACAACAGTCTTTCCTTCCTCTATGAATCTGCTCCGCACCCCCTCAATTTCTCCACTGGCTGGAGTGTCAAATGATCTTATTCTGATAAGAACATCAAAGGAACAGGACAATAAAGTCAATTAAGAAGGCTAAGAACTGTGTTCATTAAAACTAAATTTTTCATACTCAGCTGACTATACCCAATGACAAATTTTGGAGTAAGAAATACCCCAGTCATCAGCAGATAAAACAAACTTCCAGTATCCTGAAAAAAATTAAGACCAGAGAAGACTGGGGATGTAGCTTAGTGGTAGAATGCTTTACCTAGCATTCACAAGGCCCTGGGTTCAGTCCCCAGTACCAGGGGGAGAGGGTGAATTAAGACCAGAGATCAAAATGTAAGTGATGGCAAAATTCCATCTTCTGATCAAATAATTCCAACTACAAAGTTCAGAAAGGCTCCACATTGATAAAACACATAAGCTTCTGTTCTTCCTATCACCACAGCTATCTATAGGAAAAGTATCCTGGAAAACTTTGTTTTATTATTTTTAGTTATACATGACAGTAAAATCTATTTTGATATATTTATACAACATAGAATATACCTTACTCTAATTAGGATCCTAGTCTTGTCATGTACACAAGGCTGAGAGTTACCATGGTGTATTCATACATATACATAGGAAAGTTATACCACTGTCTTTTGGAAAGTTTTTAATGTGGAATCACCAGGACTATAATAACCAGGCCTTGAAACCATCAACCCCAGAGAAACCAGTTTCAGAAATCAATAAAGGATAAAATCTTGATCCAGCCCAATTAACCTACTGGCCATATGGAAATTACTTTGGGGATTCTGGGGAAAAGCTACAACACAATAAACAAAAATATTGATGCTAAGAATCTATTCTCAAATAATATGCAGCAAAAATAAGCCATGCACATAGAAATATTGTCAAACACATTTGGACACTTAGCTAAGTTTTTCCTTTCCCTGAATAGTTTCAAAGTTCTCTGTACAGTCTTGTTCACCCCTTGCTCAATTTCTTAAAGTATTCCTTACTGTGCCTGGAGTGTGAAAACACACACACACGCACATATGTATGTGTGTGTATGTATACATGCACACATATATGATGTAAGTGTACATAATATGTATGTGTGTATATATACACACACACACGCACACACATATATATGTGATATAAGTGACACATTAAATAGATTTCAGTAATCAACCAGATAACTGCACTAAAGATCTGAGCTTGTATAACCTCATGCAACAACTGGGATTACAGGATCTAGACTCAAGAATGGGAGGAAAAGCACAAGATATTTGATTTTAAAAGTTCAAGTGATTGGAATGCTACTGAGCAATGACAATAATAAGTACTGACACATGTAACTCAGATGGAGCAAAGCATAATGAAAAACAATCCAATCTCAAAGGGTTACATACTTCTTGATTCCATTTTTCTAAACTTTCAAAGTGACAAAATTATGCTGATAGCAGATCAGTGATTGACAATATTAGAGTGAGAACATGTGACTATAAAGAAGTAATATGAAGGAGTCTCTTGAGGATAATGGGAAAACTCTGTACCTTGATTTTTAATGATGGTTTCTCAAATCTACATATGTGATAAAAATTCATACAACTATGCACCCTTCACCCGAAAGGGAGCACATGCAAAACCTGTTGAAATCCAAAGGTCTGTACCTGAATTAATAGTACTGTATCACTGTCAAATCCTGGTTTTGAGAATGTATTGTGTTATTATTATTGAGGGAAGATGAGTGAGGAGTACATGAAAATTCTCCATACTATTTTTGTAATTTCTTGTGAATCTTAAGCTTATTTAAGCTAAAAATACAGAGAGGGGAGGGATGTAGAATGAACATAATTGAAATATTAGGCAGTTTTGTTTCTTGAAAAACCAGGTTGTTAAACTGAAAGAGTTAAGAATATACCTTAGTTAAGCCCCCCCTACCCCGCACTGTATTTTTTATAGATGCCTTGATATTCTTACTCTTCTGTTCCTTTTTTTTTTTTTTTTTTTTGCAGTGCTGGAGATTAAGCCCGGGGTCTCTTGCATGCTAGGCACATATTCTACCACTGAGCTATATCCACAACCCTTATTCTTATCCTTTTAACACTTACATATTGATATGTTGCTCTTATTGTATACTCTTCTGGACCAGAAGAGTTACTGGCTAGTTATATAAGTTATAAATACAATTCTGCCCTCCTGCCCCATTATTTTAACATTAAGAGAGAAAAAGAGAGTGGGGAGTTGGAGATACTGTGGATTACTTTCAAATCGCGAAAATGAATTGTGGTTAAATTAAAAAAGAAAAACAAAAAATAAAACTGTAAACTGATCCTGGATTCTTTTAAACACAGAAGGCCCTTTTCCAGGTGGATTTAGAAGCCACATGTGAGGGAAGATTACTGTGCTAGAAGATGGAAGAAACTGGCAGGAGAGAGTAGAGATCTTCCTACCTCTATCTGAAAACTCTCAATTTATACTTTGTGTTAATAAAATAGAACAAATGGTCAGATACAGTGGCACATGCCTGTAATTCTAGCAGCTTCTCCTGAGGCAGGAGGACTGCAAGCTCAAGACCAGCCTCAGCAACTCAGGAAGGCCCTAAGCAACTTGATGAGATCTTGCCTCAAATGTAAATAAATAAACTAAGGGCTGGGGATGTAGCTCAGTGGTTTAGCACCCTTGAGTTTAATCCATAGTGCCCCTCACCCCTCAAAAAGGAAACAAATTAGGACAATGCATAGCACAATAATATGGCAATGAAAAAGGATACTCTGAAAAATAATATAGTTTAGGAAAAACTCCTTTTAAAATAATTAAACCTTTTTTAGGCAACAGAAGTTACCTAAAAAGGTAGTAAAAGGAGCATAGGCATTTTGCTGTGCTAAACTGTCTTATTCAAAAACTGAAGAACTATTCTTCCTTAGGAGATAACTCATAATCTAACAGAAAAATACTCAATTATAGACTCTGTAACGTCTATACAAAATATTCTTGTTCAAAGGCTCCTTATTAAAAAAAAAAGGAAAATTACAAATCTGCAATATGTTCATGTTACTTTACATACAAAGAAAACTAGTTATAGAAATTAAATAATAAAATTTGCTAAGCTCAGGACACTTGTCACCACTGAAAGGAAAGAACAGTATTTGTTCAGAGATTTCAAAAAGGAACCAGTAGTGCATCCTGTGTCTGAGACAAAGGCCTCTTAATAGAGACCTTTTCTTAGTCCCTCTAGTCTCGTTTCATAGCCAGGAATTCTTAACTCAAGATCAACAGAACAAAGGATCCCTACATTTTAGTCAGTCTCTACTAGTTGCCTTTGTAATCACATTCATTTTATTTTATGCATTTAAAATCTTTTTTCTGAGACAGGGTCTGTAAGTTTCATTCAATTGCAAAAAGGTTTGTGGCAACAACCAAGTAAGAATCTAAACTATCTGGGACAATAGCCTGAAACTTTCTTTTCTTTCTTTTTTTTTTTTTTTTAGTTATAGTTGGACACAATACCTTTATTTTATTTATTTATTTTTATGTGGTGCTGAGGATTGAACCCAGGGCCTCGAACATGCTAGGTGAGTGCTCTACCTCTGAGCCACAACCCCAGCTCGCCTGAAACTTTCACTACTCTACCTACATCTCAGTCATAGAAAACATGTGCGTAAACAGAATATGCAGTGCTATCAGCAAAGTTTACACAGCTGTAATCTGTGGTCACTCTTCATATCTTCATTAATATTTCTTTAAATGTTAATAATATTCAATTAAATTATATATCTGTAAAGTTCCAAGAGAAGTAGTAAAATACCAGTGAGATGGGCTGATTTTCAAAATAAGATATTCCTCATGTATTTGTCTAATAACTACATTAAAAAATATAACATCTTTGTTTTTCTAAAAATAATTTGCTGTCACTCAATTACAGAACAACATTATACAAAAACTACCTAATTATATCCTTTATTATGTAGTATCTGGGCCTAACTTAATATAACTTAATTATGACTAACTTAAAAATTATGTACCACATTTGTAATACATCAGAATTAACTATGATGGATCAGATTTGTGTCTTACCTCTGCATAAGAATTTAAGTTGCATTTTAAATAGCCTGTAAGTGCAGCAACTTGACAGGCGAAATATGGTAGTGCCCAGTTTTCTCTTAAAGGAATGGAGTATTCAATTCTTGTTGTATCTACCCTAAAATAAACCACAAATGAACAGCAAAATAAGACATTGTATATGTGTAAAACTATACTTTTCAAAGCACTTTCACACATATCTCATCTTCTCAACAATACTGTGAGGTTACCTATGTAGCATTTTGGGGCAAATTAACGATTTCCCCACCCCCACTCCCCAACCAAGAGGAAGAATGCTTCTGTGTTCTACTTGGTGAACCGATGGGCCTTGGTGAGAATGTGCAAACGGCATGCCTTTTCTGGGTGGATATTACCCCAAGCTAAAGCACACTGATCTGCCCCTTCCTTCCCTTCTATTAACCAGATGGCTGTCCTTCTCTAGAGCACAATCTGCATTACATAATTGGTGGCCTGGCAGATCCAAAGTTCTTACTTGCCTTTACAAAGGAATATGAACCTCAGAGATATGATGTGACTTAATCGTATGCTAGTAGGTGGCATAAATGGGATTATAATGCATACCATTTGATACCTAGTTCAATAATGTTTTCCATTAACAGGCTACCTGAAATTAACTTCATAGTAGTTTTTATATATATATCTAAATGCCGAAGTCTGGCTGGGCAAAATAACCGGGGGGTGACAAGCAACTTGTGAAGGTTGATACAGCAGGAGCCGTTTTATTGTGAGATATCAGAGGTATTTAGACCTAACTGAATACACAGCTTGTTTCAATTTAGCATCATCCAGTTACAGCAATCAGTCATTAAGGAATCCTCATCATCTTAATAATTATACATAGCTTAACTTCTTTAACATCATTAGATACAGCAGTCAGTCATTAAGGAATCTCCATCATCTTAATGGCTCGCTGGCTTACTTCTCAAACCACTCCTTCTGGCAAAGTGCCAGGCGCCATCTTGACTTGTCTGCGGTTCTCAACATCTAAAGACTTTTTAAAATTTCCAGAGACGTGGGGTGCAATGGCACACACCTGTAATTCCAGCAGCTCTGAGCCACAAGTGAAAAATTGTGTTCTATAAAGGCTGAGGCAGGAGGATCGCAAGTTCAAAGTCAGCCTCAGCAAAAACTAGGCATTAAGTAACTCAGTGAGACCCTGTCTCTAAATAAAACAGAAAATAGGGCTGGGGATGTGGCTTAGTTGTTGAGTACCCCTGAGTTCAATCCCTAATACCAAAAAAAAAAAAAAAAATTCCAGAATCAAAGATATAGAAATGTCTTTGTAAGTTCCTCCTAAGTTCGTCCTGTCAATTTTTATTAAGAGCTTTTTGTATCCTTCATATATCATCACACCACAATGGGACTTCCTTTCCAAAAATCACCAAATTTGGCTCTCTTACAACTTAATGGCTATTTATCACACAAAAACAAAGGTTTTTTTGCTTGTTTTTTTGTTAATTTACGAGAATTGGTGCATTACTAAGTAAAAGAGATGGCAAATTTTTACCCTTTGCACATCAGATAAAGCACTAATCTCTAGGGTATATAAAGAACTCAAAAAGCTAAACACTAAAAAAAACAAATAACCCAATCAATAAATGGGCCAAGGGATATACAATCAATCAACAAATATATGAAAAAATGATCATCATCTCTAGCAATTAGATAAATGAAAATTAAAACTACTCTTAAGATTTCACACACACACACACACACAAAAAGATTTCACCTCACTCCAGTTAGAATGGCAACTATTAAAAATACAAACAACAATAAGTGTTGGTGAGGATATGGGAAAAAAGGCACACTCATACATTGCTGGTGACACTGCAAATTGGTGTGGCCGATATGGAAAGCAGTATGAAGAATCCTTGGAAAACTGAGAATAGAACCACCATTTGACCCAGCTATCCCACTCCTCAGTCTATACCAAAGGTCTTAAAAACAGCATACTACGGGACACAGCCACATCAATGTTTATAGCAGCACAAGTCACAATAGCTAAACTGTGGAACCAACGTAGATGAATGGATAAAGAAAATGTGGTATATATCCACAATGGAATATTACTCAGCAATAAAAGAGAATAAAATCATGGCATTTACAGGTAAATGGATGAAGCTGGATTATATAATGCCAAGTGAAGTTAGCCAATCCCCCGAAAACAGGTGCCAAATGTTTTCTCTGATACAGGAGGCTGATTCATAGTGGGGTTGGGAGCGGGAGCATGGAAGGATTAGACAAACTCTAGATAAAACAAAGGGGTGGGAGGGAAAGGGAAGGGACATGGGGATAAAAAAGATGGTGGAATGAGACGGACATCATTACCCTAAGTACATGTATGAAGATACAAATCGTTTGAATATACTTTGTATACAGCCAGAGACATTAAAAATTGTGCTCTATATGTGTAATATGAATTGTAATGCATTCTGCTGTCATATATAACAAATTAGAATAAAGAATAAAAAATAAATAAATAAAAATAAAATGATTCTCTCCCTCTTTATTTTATTTTTATGTGGTGCTGAGGATCGATCAAGCGCTACTGCTTGAGCCACAACCGCAGCCCCTTTCCCATGTTTTTGATTGGTGCATTATAGTCGTACTTAATGATGGTATTTGTTGTTACATATTTATACATGCACACATTATGAGAATATAATTTGGCCAGTATCAGTCCCCAGCACTTCTCCAGTCCCTCCCCTTGATCCCTTTCCTCTACTGATCTCCCTTTGTTTTACATGAGATCCACCCTCACCTTTTTCCTTTTTCTTCTCTAGCTTCTGCATATGAAAGAAAATACAAGCCAGCATGATGGCCCATGCCTGTAATCCCAGCAGCTGGAGAGGCTGAGACAGGAGGATCACCAGTTCAAAGCCAGCCTCAGCAAAATCGAGGCACTAAGCAACTCAGTGAGAACCTGTCTCTAAATAAAATACAAAATAGGGCTGGGGATGTGGCTCAGTGGTTGGGTGCTTATGAGTTCAACCCTAGGTACGCCCCCCCCAGCCCAAAAAAAGGAAAAAAAAATACAGTCCCTTGGCCTTCTGAAATTGACTTATTTTGCTTAACATAATGCTCTCTAGTTCTATCCATTTTCCTGCAAATGACATATTTCATTTTTTATGGCTGAATAAAACTCTATTGTGTATATATACCATATTTTCTTTAACTATTCATCCCTAAAGCTCAGGAAATAATGCTAAGAGTTAATAAATGGGATGGCATCCAATTAAAAAGCTTCCGCACAGCAAAGGAAAACAATTAGAAATGTGAAAAGAAAATCTATGGAAATGTTTGTTAGCTACTCTGATGATTAATATCTAGAATATATAAAGAACTCAAAAAGCTTTACACCAAAACAAAAATCAAATAACTCAAATAATAAATGGGCAAATGAATTAAACAGACATTTCTCAAATGAATCAATAATTATTTATGTTAAAAGTAACCAATGAGTTCTGCTTATGAAGAAAAATTACACTTCTGAAGAGTGAATAATGTAGCCAAAAAACAGAAAAATGTAATTTTATAAACCCTAATAAAACTACTACATTAGGCAAAGATTATCAACTCATGTCACAACCCTTAGGTAAACGGTTAGTAGCTAAAAGAACATTTCATTTATTGTCATAAATACCACAGTTTATTTTCTAGCCTCATATTCAAGAGGGATGAACTATATATCATATAACTTTTAATGTTAACATGAAAAATAATCTACAATATAATATATTCTAACCTGAACTGTTTATTCCCCCCACCTTTTTTTGTTTGCTAGGTACTGGGGATTGAACCCAGGGGCACTTTACCACTGAGCCACATCCTCAGACCTTTTTATTTTATTGTGAGACAGGTTCTCACTAAGTTGCTAAGGAAGGCCTCAAACTTGTGATCCTTCCACCTTGGCTTCCTGATTCACTGGTATTACAGGCCTGAGCCACCATGCCTGGCTCAACTACTTTGAACTCATCAAAGCCACTAAAATTTTCAGAGTATGCCTGTAATCCCAGTGGCTTGGGAGGCTGAAGCAGGAGGATCAAGAGTTCAAAGCCAGCCTCAGCAAAAGCAAGGTGCTAATAAGTAACTCAGTGAGACCCTGTCTCTAAATAAAATACATAATAGGGCTTGGGATGTGGCTCAGTGGTTGGGTGCTAAATGACACTAAATGATCCAACAAGAGAAATTCAGAAAGTAGGACATTCTACAGAATAGTTGACTTGATCTCTTACCCATTAAAAAAAAAAAAAAACTAAAGTAGATAAAAGAGAATTAAGGGATATATCAATGATGTAATATGTAGTCCTGGATCAATTACTGGTTTAGATGAACACATTATATAGGACATTTTGAAGTCAAACAGGTAAACTATAATAAAGACTGAGTATTAGATAAGATAAAAAGTGAGCTGCAGGTATAGCTCAGTGATAGAGCACTTGCCTAGCATGTATGAGGTCTTGGGTTCAATCCTTAGCACCATTATAAATAAATAAATAGATAGATAAATAAATAAATAAAAGTAAAAGTAAAAAAGGTAAATACTTGAATAAAATTAGCACATGAAACAGTATGTGTAACATATCACATTTTTAATTTTTTTTTTTTTTTAGTTGTAGATGGACACAATCTCTTTATTTATTTTTATCTGGTGCTGAGTATCGAACCCAGTGCCTCACATGTGTGAGGTGGGCGCTCTACCACTGAGCTACAGCCCCAGCCCTATATCACATTTTGATTAAAAAATGTATAGATATAAATACAAGAATTCAAAAACACATTCATACAGAAAAAATCCAAAAGAATATAAAAGAATACACCTCAATTATAAACAATGATGAGTGATCTCTAGGCGGTAGAAATGTGAAGTTATTGTTTTATATTTTCTGGTCTCCCTTTTCCACATCATACATAGATCTCTTTTAAATAATAAAGTGTAGTGTATCTCTGTGCTTTTAAAAAGAAACATACTTTACCCACAAAGCTGGATAGCTATACTTGAAAACTTCTAAGGAAGATCTAAAAAATCCTTTATAATACATTATTGTCAGCCTATGATGCTAAATATAAACAAAGTCCAGTAAGAAATACAGTTCTTAGTGTTGAATTTCAATAACTTAAAAGTTAAAAGCATCAATTTTATCATCTGACAACTGCCTAAAGAAAAGAAAATGTATAACAGAAAAAACATCTCATTTCTAAAACTGTAATCATATTAAGTACTATGGGTGGGGGTAGAAGTGCTATGGGTGGAAAAAAAGCATGCCTAATCTACAATAAATTATTTTATGATATGACCAATACTAGGAAAATTTTATTATTACAAATAAGCCTTCCTTCTCATTGAAACCCCCTCCCCAACTAAACAGCTGAGGCTCCTTGGATAACAAAAGGGATGGTTCTATTAATTAGAAGTGTACTTCTAATTAAAAGTATACTTTAATTATCAAAACTTTATCGATTTGTATAGAGTCCTTATCTATGGTAATTAACTTAATAAGCAATGTATTTGATGTCCCTTCCTCCTTTCTAAGAAGCTGTACCATTAATTTTAAATGAAAGAGAAGAGACATATCTATATATGCCAATGTTTCTATTTCTATAAAAGGAGAGATACAAAACTGGTAAATTACTTTTCAACTGTTATGTAACAACTGACCACAAATGTAGTAACTTAAAACAACACAAATGTATTATGTCACAAAGGCCAGCAGAGTATAGTTGGATTCTCAGAGTTGCACTAAACTAAAATCCAGGTATCATTCAGAGCTACAGCTCTCATCAGAGAATTATAGTCCTTTTTTCAGGCTGGGTATCAAATCCAGAGCCTCACACATGCTAGGCAAGCACTTGCCATATTCTTAAAAGTTCACTGATTGTTTAAAGAATTCATTTTCTCCTTCAAGTCAGCAATCGCACAGCAAATTTTTCTCATGCTTTGAATCTCTCTGACTTCCCCTTCTATACCAGATGAAGAAAGATCTCTGCTTTTAAGGTCCACAGGGTAATTTTCCACTTTTAAGGTGGTAAGCCAAGTCATAATACAATCACAAGAATGATTCTTCAGCATATTCATAGACTTGGGAATTAGGGTGGGGAATCTGGGGGATAGGGAACATTTTCAGAACTCTACTATTGTCACAAAAAATTATAAATATTAATTAAAAATACCTTTCTTACCTATTAATAATAAACCATGCAACAGTAAGCATTCCTGCTAGCCATGTTCCACTCATAAGCCAACTTGTAACAAATAATGCAGTAACATATATTCCTTGCAATCCAAAAACAATGCCAATATAGAAATAAACTGGCTCAATCATCTCCTAAATGGAAACAACAAAGGGAGTGATAATAGTACGACATTAAATAATTTGAAGATTTGTAAATATGTCAGAAAATAGATATTAAGATCAAAACAAAAATACATACATTGCTACCAGTTGCTTGATATAAAACGCTGGCAATAAGTTCTGGATATAGAGACATTTGCTGTACTGCATTTATAGTCTTCAGAGATACAGTTTTGTTATTATGTGTCAGTTCGTAAACACCTAAAAACAGTTTTGTTATTGTTTATCTGTTTGTAAAAATCCAAAGATATATTTTTCTCCAGAAAATTTTTTTTTTATTTTACAACAGTCAAATAAACATATCTTTAATTAGTCATCAAATATTTAATGTTATAAAGAAAGATTTGAAAATGTAATGCTCAATGCTTTATTTTTCCAATTTTTAAAAATTAAGTACAATAAGGAGAAATGTCTATATTCTGAGACAAATCCCTATACTCTGAGATTCCAGTATTGAAGAACAATGATCTGTATAAGAAAAATATTGTTATTACAAATTCATACCTCTTTCAAATGAAGGTGCCTTTAACATATCTTTATAGTAGGAGTAATAAATAGCACTGTCACCCTGAAATGTGATTTCCCGTTCAAGCTCCTAAAATAAAATGAAATGAATATTTAAATAATAGTATCTGAAGTTTAAGCTGTCTTCTTCCCTTCTCACTTTCTAAATGAACATGATATTTGTTTACTCTTTTATTAAAAAACATCTTTGGCCTGTGCAGTAGCACACGCCTATAATCTCAGCGTCTTGGGAGGTCGAGGCAGGAGAATTGTGAGTTCAAAGCCAGCCTCAGCAAAAGCAAGGCACTAAGAAACTCAGTAAGACCCTGTCTCTAAATAAAATACAAAATAGGGCTGGGATGTGGCTCAGTGGTCAAGTGCCCCTGAGTTTAATCCCTGATACTCAAAAATAAAGAAATTAAAATAAAATAATAAAAAACATCTTTGAATTTTTTTAAGCACTAGTGGTCATATTATAAGGAAGTTAAAACTATTCAATAACTTTGGGTCATTTTAATGAAATACCTGAGGTTTCAAATGGATTACAACTCATTAAGTCAATATCTGTTTTATACGTAAGGAAACTTTAGAAGGAAAACCAAAAGAATGCCCTAAAAATAGCAAGAATAAGGCTGGGGATGTGGCTCAAGCGGTCGGGCGCTTGCCTGGCATGCGTGCGGCCCAGGTTCGATCCTCAGCACCGCATACAGACAAAGGTGTTGTGTCCGCCAAAAACTAAAAAAAAAAAAATATTAAAAATTTCTCTCTCTCTGTCTCTCTCTTAAAAAAAAAAAAACAACTTTAAAAAAAAATAGCAAGAATAATAAGGCCGGTAAAAACAAATGATAATCGAAGTATCAGAGGTCTATAATAAAAAGATAAATTTAAGAGGCTCAGGTTGTAGCTCAGTGGTAGAGTGGTTGCCTAGCATGTGTGAGGCACTGGGTTTAATCCTCAGCACTGCATAAAAAAATGAATGAATATTTTTAAAAAAAAGATAAGTTTAAGAAGAAACTGATATTTTCTCTCTCTCTTTTTTGCGGGGCTTCTGGGATTGAACTCAGGGCACTCAACCACTGAGCCACATCCCCAGCCCTATTCTGTATTTTATTTAGAGTCAGGGTCTCACTGAGTTGCTTAGCGCGCCTCGCAGTTGGTGAGGCTGGCTTTTTTTTTTTTTAATACATATTTATTTTTTTTAGTTGTAGTTGGATACAATATCTTTAATTAATTTATTTATTTTTATGTGATGCTGAGGATCAAACCTGGGGCCTCACCCATGCTAGGCAAGCGCTCTACTGCTGACTCATAACCCCAGCAGGCTGAGGCTGGCTTTGAAGTCAAAATCCTCCTGAGCTGCATGCACCACCGCGCTCAGCAAGAAACTAATATTTTTTACTACTATTGATATCCCTATGTATCCAAAACAGAAAGTTCTTAATTAGTACTTTTTAAGAGCAGCAGATATTTAAACAGTTCTTTTCAAATAAATTTTCAAAAATATACGTAAGATTTAAAATTCCCAATATTAAGTTTTGGAGAATCAAGAATGTAGTAGTCAAAATGTACAATGACTTGCATTTTTTATGAAGAATCAAACTACTTTACAATCTTTAAAAATAAAACCTGATTTTCATGCACAATACAGATTAGGCATCTTGATTCCAAAAAATCTGAAATCCTACATTTCAAAATTAGAAACCTTGAGTGCCAACATAATGCCACCAAGTAAAATATTTCATATTTAACCTCATGTGATGAGTTGCAGTCAAAATGAGGCGCACTAAATACTGTTTAAAATTACTCAGGCTATGTGTATAAAATGTATATGAAATATAAATAAATTCTGTTTTTAGACTTGTGTCCTATTCCTAAGTCTATATATAACTCATTATGTATATGTAAAAAAAAAAAAAATTTTTTTTTTAATCCAACATCTGAAACACTTCTGGTCCTGAGAATTTCAGATAAGGAATACTAAATCTCTATTTATCAATTAATACAATTATTTTAAAAAGTTAGTAAGAGTAGTTTTCCAAAATTCTGAATTTCCTAAGCTGTTAATTGGTGCTACTTAAAAAAAAAAAAAAAATCTGTAGTTAAGTTTTAATACAGGCTGGATCAAACAAAGTTACATGAGTTTCTTTACTGCAAGACTGTTCAGTTTGGGCATATATCATGCTATGAATCTCCAAGAGGAAGTCTTTCCAAAGTCTACTTAACCACTGAATACTCCCCACCCACACACACTTCCCATTTAGAGCATAACTGTGAGGGCTAGGGGTATAGCTCAGCAGTAGAGTGCTTGCCTAGCACACACAAGACATTGGGTTTGATCCCCGGTCTCACACAAAAAATAAGTAAAAGACTGCAAGAAAGCATGCTATCATCCAGATATTTCTGTCCCCCATACCCCATATTGATATGTTGAAACCTAATCCCCAGCGTAATGCTATCTGGAAGTGGGCATTTGAAATTAGTGCCTTAATGAAAAAGGCCCAAGAGAGATTCCTCACCTTTTCTCCCTTCTGCTACCTAAGGACACACAGCAAAAAGATAGTTGGCTATGAAACAAGAAGCAGGTCTTCACCAGACACTGAATTTGCTAGTGCCTTACCTTGGACATCCAGTCCCAATTTATCATGCTTTACTATATAACAGCCCAAATGGACTAAGACAGAACTTACTAACCTCAATAAATTTCATTGAAATGATTTTTTTGAATGGAAAGATTTATTTCTCCCCAAAATTTCAAAGATGAAACTTTTAATTGGTGGTTCTTAAATTTACTGTACATGTGAAATACCTATAGACCTTCAAATAATGTAGATTCTGATTCTATATGGGGCCTGAGAATCTGCAATTCTAAACAAGCTCCCAGACACTGCTAATGCTTCTGGCCCATACATAATACTTTGAAAAACAAGGTTCTTGATGAGTGTCTACTATATTTTCAAACCTTTGGTTGTTCCCAGTTCTGCTACACGATAGCATTGCCTAGAAATATTTTTTGAAATAGTGATACTAGCCACTCCCCATTCCTTCCTACCAACCCAACAATCTAAAAAGGAAGGTTATTTTTTTGATAGCTTCCTGGATGATTCCATTGTACATCTAGTATTAAGAATTATTTATCTATATAACAATTTTAAGGAAAAAGTATATGCTACAGTTACAGCTAAATTAATACAGGTATAGTCAGTAATCTTTCAGTTAAATGTTTTGGTGGTGTTAAAATAAATCAAAGTTTAAAAACATTTAGTCAGCTTAACTACTTGCTCAAAAATAAGAACAGTGGGGTTGGATTATGGCTCAGCTGGAGAGTGCTTGCTTAGCATGTGCAAGGCCCTGGGTTCGAGCCTTAGCATCACATAAAAATAAATAAAATAAAGGTATTATGTCCAACTACAACTAAAAATAAATATTAAAAAAAATAAGAACAATGACAAAATCCAGTTTGAGCTCAAAAATTTAAAAACTCTATAAAGTCAAGCGACCTTTGAAAGCAATAGTTTAATGCTGAAACTTTCACAAATTATTTCTAAAATGTGAGCTACCAATACAACTAAAAGGCTGACTAAACTCCTTAATATTTCATTGTTATTAAAAGTCCCTGTAAAGGAACACAGCCACATCAATGTTTATAGCAGCACAATTCACAATAGCTAGAATGTGGAACCAACCTAGATGCCCTTCAATAGATGAATGGATTAAAAAAATGTGGCATTTATACACAATGGAATATTACTCAGCACTAAAAAATAACAAGATCATGGCATTTGCAGGCAAATGGATGGCATTAGAGCAGATTATGCTAAGTGAAGTTAGCCAATCCCTAAAAAACAAATGCTGAATATCTTCTCTGATATAAGGAGGGTGACTCAAAATGGGATAGGGAGGAAGAGCATGAGAAGAAGACTACCACTAAAAAGGGAAGAGAGGTGGGAGGGAAAAGGAGGGAGAAGGGGAGTTGCACGGAGATGGAAGGAGAAACTCATTGTTATACAGAATACATGTATGATGTTGTAATGAGAAAAAGAAAAAAAAAGTGTGTCACATTAGACTGGATAGAGAGAAATGATGGGAGGGGAGGGGAGGAGTAGGGGGGATAGGAAGGGCAGCAGAATAGAATAGACATTATGATTGATGTATGTACATTCCACGTATGTATTATATGTCAAAATACATTCTGGGGCTGGGGATGTAGCTCAAGCAGTAGCACGCTCGCCTGGCATGCGTGCGGCCCGGGTTCGATCCTCAGCACCACATACAAACAAAGATGTTGTGTCCGCCAAAAACTAAAAAATAAATATTAAAAAAATTCTCTCTCTCTCTCTCTCTTTAAAAAAAAATACATTCTGCTGTCATGTATGACTAAAAAAAATAAAAATAAATCATATGGTTAAAAAAAAAAAAAAAAGTCCCTGTAGAGGGCTGGGGATACAGCTCAGTTGGTAAAGTACATACACAAGGCCATGGGTTCAATTCCCAGCACCACAAAATAAATAAATAAAATAAAAAAAATAAAAGTCCCTGTGGGGTCAGGTAGTGTAATCCCAGAGGTTCAGGAGGCTGAGATAGGAGGATCCAGGATCGCGAGTACAAAGCCAGCCTCAGCAAAAAGCAACTCAATAGGACCCCTGTCTCTAAATAAAATACAAAAAATTGGACTGAGAATGTGGCTCGAGTGCCCCTGAGTTCAATCCCTAGCACACACACCCCCTGCCAAAAAAAGTCCCTGTAGGAATTCAGCTTGACCTGACTAGAGCCATTTAAAAGAACCATCATGATTGCTCTTGAATAACCCTGGTTTGTTTTTCCCACATAATTCTCCAGCACACTATATACAGATAGAATGATAAGTGGAACTTTACAATGTGAGGACCCTGGTTTTTTAAGTGCCAGCAATATATTTTAAATCCTCTATGTTAGTCTGAGATAGACCACGTACATTCTGAAGGGGATGGAGTCACTTTTGTCCTGACCCGTAAGCCTGCTCCCTTTGCTTCATATCACAAAGATCTGTCATGCTGCTGCCCAAGACAAACTCCTATACATAAGTCCCCTAATAAATTGTCCTCTGTGCAATCTTGGACCTGCCTGCCTCTTTCTTTGGTTTCATGACATCTTGCAGCCAGTTCTCATACACTCCGACCAAGTTTTTCTAGAATAGTCCTGGATAGATGAATTGCACAAGGAAAGCACCCTCATAGTTCCTATTCTTTTTTTCTTTTAATTAATTTATTTTTTTAGTTGTAGTTGGATACAATACCTTTGTTTTATTCATTTTTACATGGTACTGAGGATCAAACCCAGGGCCTCGAACATGCTAGGCAAGCACTCTACCGCTGAGCCATAACCCCAACCCCTCATAGTTCCTATTCTATAAAATATCTTGTTACATATTTTAAGGTTCACACTGTGACTGTGGATCTTAAAATTTTGTTTCTGATAGTCATAAATAAGAGCACTTGTCATACTTATCACACAAGAATTTTGTGTGATAAGTATAACAAGTACTTATCATACTTAGTAAAGCATTACTAAGCCAGATGGATTGCAAGTTCAAAGCCAGCCTCAGCAACTAAAGAGACCCTAAGCAATTTATTGAGACCCTGTCTCAAAAATAAAAAAATGAAAAAAGCTGGAGATGTAGCTCTGTGGTAAAGAGCCCCTCAGTTCAACACCTAGTACAAAACAAAAAAAAAAAACAGGAAAACACATTACTGAAATTAATATTATATACTAAAACATCTTTCATATGCTCAAAATTCTTTATTCTTACCTGTCTGTTGGAAAACCAGAATTTCCGTTCATGGTAAGCTGATAAGTAGAGAGCATACATCATACCACTAGTAACTGCTGCAAGACAGCCAATGAAAATCTTTGCAAAACGTTGAAATAACACATCTGAAAAAACACATTAAAGATAATCAAAAGGTATATGTACCCTTGTTATGATGTGATGAAAATGGCATTCTAACTCAATGGTTTCTTTCCAAAAACTCATAATCCCTGTCTAATCATAAAAAAAAAAATCAGATAAAATCCAATAAAGGAATATCTTACAATATACCTGACTAGTACTCCTAAAAACTGTTAAGGTCATCAAAAACAAGAAAAGTCTAAGGAACTGTCATAGACAAGAGGAGCCTAACAAGACATGATAATTAAATGCAATGTAGTATCCTATATGAGAAAAAAGAAAACAATATTAGTTAAAAAGAAGAACAACATTAGGTAAAAATTAAGGAAATTCGAATAAATTATAAGCTTTTATTAATATATACATAATGTATATATATAAAACGTATCAATATTGGTTTATTAATTCTAACAAATGTACAACATTAACGCAAATTGTTAAGAATAAGGTGAACTCCCTGTGTGGGAGGTTGAAATATGGGAACTTTGTACTCAGCTCAATTCTTCTGTAATCTTTTTTTTTTTTCTAGAGCATGCATGTGCTCTTTTTTTTTTCTTTGGTACTGGGGATTGAACTCAGTGGGGTTGACCAGTGAGCTACATCCCCAGCCCGTTTTTTTTTTTTTTTTTAAAAGGGAGAGTGAGAGAGAGAGAGAGAGAATTTTAATATTTTTTTTTTTTTTTTTAGATTTTGGCAGACACAACATCTTTGTTTGTATGTGGTGCTGAGGATCAAACCCGGGCCGCACACATGCCAGGCGAGCGCGCTACCGCTTGAGCCACATCCCCAGCCCCTTCTGTAATCTAAACTGGTTTAAAAAATTAAAACCTAGGGTTGGGGTTGTGGCTCAGCAGCAGAGTGCTTGCCTAGCACATGCGAGGCACTTGTTTTGATCCTTAGCACCACATAAAATAAATAAAATAAAGATATTGTGTCCAACTACAGCTAAAAAACTTTTAAAAAATTAAATTAAATTAAATTTAAATTTAAATTAAAACCTATATATTGCAAGATGAAAAAGTTCTAGAGATCTGGTTCACAACAAGGTAAATAATTAACACTATAAAATCATAAACTTAAAAATGGTAAATATAGTAAAAATATTAACATCCATTAATTTAAAAAAGAATGATAAGAAACATAGGAGCCAATTATCTAAATACAGATTCATTCAGAATTACTCTTGAAATATTTTACTGATATACTTTTTCCATGTTGGAAATTTTTTTAAGAATAACTTATATATCATAAGCTGGGTACAGTGGTACATGCCTATAATCCCAACGGCTCAGGAGGCTGAGGCAGGAGGATTTTAAGTTCAAAGCCAGCCTTAGCAAAAGCGAGGTGCTAAGCAACTCAGTGAGACCCTGTCTCTAAATAAAATATAAAAAACGGCTGGTGATGTGGCTTAGTGGTTAAGCACCCCTGGGTTCAATCCCTGGTACCAATAAATACATACATAAGTACATAAATTACTCAAATACTATAGAAAGCAGCCCTCCACACACCTTTTTTTGGTACCTGGAATTGAACTCAGGGTACTGTATCACTGACTAAATCCCTAAGTTGCTTAGGGCCTCGCTAGATTGATAAACTGGTCTTTAACTTGCAATACTGACTCAGCTTCCTGAGTTGCTGGGATTATAGGTGTGTACCACTGCACCAGGCTAAGCTACAGTCCTTTAAAGTGTATAATTCAATGAGTTTTAATGACTATGTTTTAAAAAATCACATGCAACTGTTACATATATGTTGAGGACACAGCATAAAACACATTTGAATTTTGTACAGAGACGATTCAATCCTGCTAGCTATAACCATTAAGTGCCTAAATCCCAGTGTTCTGTTACTCAATGAGCTACAAGTTTGTACAAATAAACTTCTTGATTTACTTGACTAGCTAAACAAAAATCATGGAGTTGAAGCCGAAAGCCATGGTGCACACCTGTCATTCCAGCCACTTGGGAGGCTAAAGCAGGAGGATTAGAAGCTTAAGGTCAACCTTAGCATTTGTAAAACAGCAACTTACAATCTTGTCTCAAAATAAAAAATAAAAAGGGCTAAAGGATGTAGCTTGGTGGTAAAGCACCCCTAGTTTCAATTCCCAACACACACACAAAAAAAAAAAAAAAAAAAAAATTAGGATTGAGAGTATATGTCAGTGGTTGCTTAGCATGTGTGAGGCCCTGGGTTTGATCCCAGAACCACAAAAAATAAATAAATGAATAAGTTTTTTAAAAATTCCTTAGCTTAAAAAAAAAAAAAAAAGCCTTAGCTATTCTCTAAATGTTATTTCTCAAACAGAATAATTAGATGTCACTAAATTAAAAAGAATATTTTAAAAGTTTAAGAAACACTACCCAATATATCAAATATTACTGTAAGTATGACACAAATTGTTTTAAAAATTCCTATTTCTAATAGCATGCGTGCATCCTACTTCCAATAGCATTTGGCATGGTGCCTGGTACATGTTAAGATCATAGCAAATAGCAGCTATTATTATTGTGCTACAAAAGCATACTTACAAAAATATATGAAGTACTTAAAGCAATGTTGACAATATGAACTATAAAAACTTACAAGAAGGGCTGGGGTTGTGGCTTAGCAGTAGAGCACTCGCCTAGCACATGCAAGGACTTGGTTTCGATCCTCAGCACCACATAAAAATAAATAAAATAAAATAAAGGTATTGTGTCCAACTACAACTAAGAAATAAACATTAAAAAAAAAAAACTAATAAGAAAAAGTGTTTCAGGGCTGGGGATATAGCTCAGTTGGTGCTTTCCTTGTATGCACAAGGCCCTAGGTTCAAGCCCCAGCACCACAACAACAAACAAAAAAAGAAAAGTGTTTCAAGATTTCTAAATGTGTACTTTCCTATTTTATTTTTTTTCAAGTCTTGAACAACAGGGGCTGGGGAATGCAGCTCAGTGGTATAGTGTTTGCCTTGTATGTGGAAGGCACCCTGGGTTTGAGCCCCAGCACAACAATGACAACTAGAAGACTTACAAAACAGCAAATTAATCATATTTATTAGAGGCTATTAAAAAAAAAAACTACATTCAACCAATATCTATACTTGAATGCCTTAATACTAAATATTTTGCTTTTGTAAGGAATCAAAGATGGAAGAAACACCAAATTTTCAGTGTTTGATATAAGTGTATGATTTACAGAAAATAAAGAGCTCTAAGGCCCTGGATATTATCTTTAAAAATTACAATTTTAATTAAAAAATTGAAAAGTAAAGGATCTGACTTCCATTTAAATTGTCAGTCAGAAAGCAGCCAATATAATTTCTATGCCATTTCCTTCATTTGTAAAACGGTGATCAAGCACAGAAAAGGAGAAAAAGATGATATACATGTCAACATCAATACAATTGAGCACTGATAAACAATATACCGTAAAAGTGAATAACATTAAAAGAAACACAGGACTCAATCTCACAAAAACTGTTAAAAATGAAGTAGGTACACAGAAAAAAAAGATAAGCAATACTTATGCGAAAAAAAAAAATTGTTTTGATCCTGGGGAGCAAACCCAGGGCCCGGCACATGCGAAGCATATGATCTTTCACTAAGCCATTTCCCCACTCTTATGCCAAAATGTTAAAAGTAGTTCTAGTGAAATTATGGATATATTTTATTTTTATTGTTGTTTTCTCTGTGGTTCACATTTACTACCCTATGTACAGTCAGGGCAAAATACTACTTGTAGTAGATCTCTGGATTTATTTAATTTTCTTATATTGTATTTTCCAATTTTTTTAAAGTGACTACTCTATGTGTCAGCTTTGCTGACATAACACTAAAAACAACCCCAAACCACCAGTGCCTTCCAAAACAAAGGCTTTTTTCTTATTTATGTTATAATGGATTTCCAAGTTAGCAATAACTTTATTTTAGGCTGCCACTCAATTTCAGACTTCATGTTACCTCTGGCTCTTTTTATATCTGTTTTTTCAGAGGATTGAGAGGTGGATACTGGGGATTGAACTCAGGGACACTCAACCACTGAGCCACATTCCCAGCCCTATTTTGTATTTTATTTACAGATAGGGTCTCACTGAGTTGCTTAGTGCCTAGACATAGCTGAGGTTGGCTTTGAACCCGTGATCCTCCTGTCTCAGCCTCCTGAGCCACTGGGATTATAGGAGTGCACCACTGCATCTAGCTTTTCCTTTTATCTTCTTCTGAGTTCCATACTAGAATCAGTCCCTAGTTAGGGACATACTGTTTTCACAACAGAGGAACAGAGGAAAGTTGTCAGGGTTTCTGCTCAGTACTAGTATACTCACATTCCATTGGCCCAGGCCAGTCACATCATTCGTCTGACAATTGGACAGGGAAGTACACTGTGCCTTAGAGAGGCAGTTTGAATCACATGGCAACAAAAGGGATTGTACAATTCACTTTTAGAGCAGGACATAAACATTAAAAAATAATAAAAAGGTAACCAACAATCTGCAATCTCTTTACTTCAAAGAGCATAATAAATCATTCCCTCTTAGGAGATCTAAGAGCAGCTTACTCACCATGCTTTCTGGATAAAAACAGTAAGAGACTAATATGTCATTTTAAAACCTAAAGGAGCCAAACATGCCAGCAGGGTGCCGTAGTACACACCTGTTATCCCAGAGGCTCAGGAGGTTGAGGCAGGAGGATCACAGGTTCAAAGCCAGCCTCAGTAACTTAATGAGGCCATAAGCAACCTAGTGAGACCCTGTCTCAAAAAAAAAAAAAAAAAAAAAGGGCTAGAGATTTGGCTCAGTGGTTAAGTGCCCTTGGGTTCACATGGTACCAAAAAAAAAAAAAAAAAGACACCAGGCATGGTGGCACATGCCTATAATCCCAGTGGCTAGGGAGGCTGAGGCAGGAGACTCATAAGTTCAAAGCCAGCCTCAGAAACTTAGCAAGGTCCTAAGCAACTTAAGGAGACCTGTCTCAAAATAAAAAAAATAAAAAAAAAAAAAAGGGCTGGAGATGTGGCTCATCCCAGTACCAAAAAAAAAAAACCTAAAGAGTTATGGTTTCTAATCTAGGCTAGCAGTCTTTTGACGATACAGCCCCCCAAATTTAACAGGTCATATACTATCTACTACAAGAGGCTGAGGAACATCGCTTAAACCCAGGAGTTTCAAGCCAGCTGGGCAACAGAGCAAGTGAGATCCTGTCTACAAATCAAATTAAAAATATGCAACAAGGGCTGGGGATGTGGCTCAAGCAGTAGCGCGCTCGCCTGGCATGCATGCGGCCCGGGTTCAATCCTCAGCACCATATACAAAGATGTTGTGTCTGCCAAAAACTAAAAAATAAATATTGAAATTTTCTCTCTGTCTCTCTCTCTCTCTCTCTTTAAAAAAAATATGCAACATAACAACAATAAAAACTTAACTAGCAATTCTTTTCTTAGGTATTTATCTAAGAGAAATGAAATCATACGTCTACCAAGAGACTTATAAGAATGTTCATAGTATCAGTATTCATAACAGATACTAGAAACAACCCAAAGGTTGAACAAAAGCAAAATGGAGAAACAAAAAAGGTCTATTAAAACAATGAGGGGCTGGGGATATGGCTCTGTTGGTAGAGAACTTGCCTCACATGCACAAGGCCCTGGGTTCAATCTCCAGCACCACAAAAAAAACCAAAAACCTATTAATCAATAAGAAGGAATGAACTATTGATATTCATAAATATGGATAACTTCATTTCTTGATTTTTTAGGGGGAAGTGTTGGGAGTACTAGGGATTGAACCTAGGGGCACTTAACCACTGAACTACATCCCTAGCTTTTTATTTTATTTTATTTTTTCTGAGACAGGGTCTCACTAAATTACTTAGAGCCTTACTAGGTTGCTAAGGCTGGCCTTTTAATTTGTGATCCTCCTGCCTCAGCCTCCTGAGTTGTTGGGATTACAGGTGTGCACTACCAAACCTGGCTTGATTTTATATCTTATTGTTTGAAAAAGATAAACAGTTCTAACTTCAACACTACAAGTTTGAGAATATTTGAAGCCTCAGACTTCCCAGTTGCAAATAAGTCAATTCTGCCCCAAACTGATCACTTTCCTACAGGTATGATTTTTAAAAATTCATATTACAAATGCAACATTACGGGAAATAGTATTACCAAATGTTCTGCCACTGTGTAGCATGGATCTGTGTGTGTGTGTGGGGGGGGGGGGGGGGGGTGCTGGGGATTGAACCCAGGGCCTAGTGCATGTGAGGCAAATACTCTACCAACTGAACTATATCCCTAGCCCTAACATGGATCTTTTATTTTTCTAGTTTCCAAAAATAGTTTTCTTGCTGCCAGCCCCTGACCTAGATCTGTGGATGACCCACTGCTTTCATCTTACTTGAGTCCATATATATGTATGTGTGTGTATATATGTATGTATATATTTATATATATGTATACCTATACACATACACATGTGTATATATGTATGTAGACATGCACAGACTTAACTTTCTAAAAGCAGGAATGTGAGCAATCTGTTCAGCTGCTAAGGATGACATATTCTCCAATGCCATTTTTAGATATGCAAGACATGAAAAAAGAAGAACCTCCAGAGAATGAGGTCAAGGGCCATGGAGAACAATGAACTGAAAGCAACTCAAAGTCACAACTGAGACATAATCACAAAACATTCCATACCCCAGGGTAAGGAAATCTCATTTGTTTAGTACAATTTCAGAAGAGCTATGAACCAGTGGCTCCCTCTCTTCCTTTCAAATGGAAGCATTTATTTTGTTTATCCTGACCCTGTGCAATATTGCGGGGGCATATACAGAGTTAATACAAAAGGCCTGAGAATGCTTTCATAAGGGCATGTTTGCAAGGTAGGCTTTCAGCTAACAACTGGGAACTTAGATATCATTCGAGTTCTAACAATAAGGATGGTTTACCACACCTACTCTATTAGTATAATGAGATTTATACTTTCCTTCTGGGACTTTAGAATTTTGGTAAGTGGCAGGCAGAGGTTACCTACAGATAAGCCCCCAGTAAAAACCAAGCAGTGAAATGGTTGACAAAATTTAACAAACATCACAAGCTGACACTAAAGAAATCAAGTATATTTTCTGTGACTCTATTAGGAGAGGAATTTTGGAAGCTTGTGCCTGCTTTCTATGTTGTCCACAGACCTTTTCCTTTTGTTGATTTGTTTTGTATGATTTACTATAATAAATCACAGCTGTACATGCAACTATATTCTGCAATCTGTGAGTCCTTCAAGCTAATCACCAAGCATGAGGGTGGTCTTGGGAACCCTTACACAAAGTAGATAACTTGTCTTTTTAGTTCATTGGTCTTAGGTTCAGAAGGAGTCATAGCTGGCCCAGATGTAGATAAGACGACCTTGGGCTTCAAGACTGATGCTAAAAGGAGATAAGACTGAGTGTCTTCCTTAGGGTAAGAGAAATAGCAAATGTACTCTGAAAGAATGAAACCAGTTTTTATGACCAAAAAGACTGCATGGTATATTATTCTTCCCAATTATTTTTTTCCTTCCCTATAAAAAGAATACAGAGGTTAAGAGAGTAGCTTCGTAGAGCTAAACATGCACAAGGCCCTGGGTTCAATCCCCAGCAGGACAAAATAAATACATGAATAAAAAGAAAAAGATTTTACATTTCTGCCTACTACCATCTGACTTGCTTCCCTGTAATCAGTATACTTCGGTGTCCCATTGTCAGGATTGACTATAACTTGCCGAAAGAATGAGAGAACAAGTGACTGCCAGTTCAGCAGAAACTTTAAGAGACATCATCACCTACTCTCCTGCTCTTTCCTCTGTCCCCCCAAAAACATGTTCCAAACAGGACTTGTTCTTTCATGACACATGTAGCTATACTGGTCAACCTGTGGCCACGACATGTATTAAAAATCAGAAATAAATGTTAGTCATAAGGCAAGGACATTAGGGGCTATTCCCTAATGAAAGCAAAACTTAACGTTAACCACATACAAAACATATACCACAAAGCAAAGCATTAACCATATACTTAATCTCAAATACATTCACATACTTAAAATATTAAAACATACTTCCTGGCATAACTATTTTTGTAGTAATACAAAAACTCTACATCTACCTAACTTACGTTTTGGAGCTCTTTCAGGAACAGGAGTAACACTGATTTTCTCTTCTTTGGCAGACTCCTTATTTTCTGAAGACTTTGGCTTTTTTCTTTGGCGCAGTTCTATAGTTGGTCCTTAAAAAAATTAAGACATTATTGCAACGGATGTATCAATCATCTGTACCCCAAACTGATTAACTTTTATTATACTAAAGTTAAAGCCACCTATGTCACCTACTGAGACCAATGTATTTCACAGACAACTTTTTTCATAATTATGTTAGGTAAAACTGTCTTCAGCACAAAAAAGCCAACATAGGCTCACCACCACCACCTCCCATGTTTTGAGAGTCCCACTGATAAACCAGTAAGTTCGTCTCCTGAGATAATGCTATTTAAAAATATCCCAAAATAAGTATAAAATTTTTAGAATGCCTGGGGTACAATAAGTTACTTAGGTTATTATTACTGAGCGTATCAAGTACATCATGCATGAATTAACAATTTTTTAAAATAAAAATAAAATATACTGATTATAAAACTATACTTTGTGTTATTCTTAATTTTTTTCTTTTAGTTTTAAATGGATCTCTTTTTTAATTTATGTATTTATATGCAGTGCTGAGGATGGAACCCAGGGCCTCACACATGCCAGGCAAGTGCTCTACCACTGAGCCAACACTCAGTGAGTGACCCAACACTCCAGCCCAGTGTTTTGTTTTCAATAACCCTGAAAGTTCTATAGCGTTTTACAGTGCTGAGTATCATCAGCATCGTACAATTATATAACCCTACGTTAGAAAATAGGAGTAACCTATAAAGATCCCTGTTATCAAAATCTGGGAAATTCTCAGAAAAATTTCTAAATATTAGACTATCATTTTTTTCTATCTCTTTAAAAAAATGTAATGTAGATATTACCTCCAAAACCAGTAAACTAAATTTCAAATTAAACAGGAATGTATGTTAGATAATGTAACTATAATACATATAGACAATAATCTTAACTTCTCAGAATTATCTTCTCAGGTAAATAACAAGTTCAAAGTCTCTATCAAGTGTATAAAGTATCCAGGAATTGAACACTTTTTTTTTTTTTTTTTTTTTTGGTACCAGGGATTGAACCTAGGGATGCTTACTCACTGAGTCACATCCCCAGCTCTCTTCTATTTTTTTATTTTAGACAGGGTCTCACTAAATTGCTTAAGGTCTCACTAAGTTGCTGAGGCTGGCTTTGAACTTGCATTACTCCTGCTTCAGCCTCTCAAGTTACTGTGATTACAAATATGTTTCCCCATGTCCAGCTAAGATGCCATACATTTTTAAGGTGTTATTTAGTAAGTTTTCAAGGAAAAAACCACTATTGTATACTGAATGTAAACACTGACATGTCAATTTTAATGGCATTAAATTATGAGAACAAAGTGTACAAACTAATAATTTATTTTATTTTAACCAATCTCTTCAACTTTGTCCTTAAACTAACTTTGTGTCTATTACTAAGAAACAAAACTAAATGAATGCAAATATCGTCTCATTTCCTTTATATTGGGCTTATAACTTCATTACTCCAAAGACAAAGCCACTGATGGGAAATGCTCAGTGGTGAGCTCAATGGTAGAGTGCTTAGGCCCTGGGTTGGTGCCCCAGCACTGACCCCAAAAGAAATCCCACAGAGTTAGGCATCTCTAGGTGGGAAAACTGCAAAGGCCAAAGCAATGGACAAACTTGATTATCAGTTCTGATAGGAAAGCTCTGGAATGAAGCTCAAGTTTCATTTTTACTAGTTACATTTTTAGCATTGTAAAGAAAAGTCAAACTACATGAAGATGATTACATACCCACAAAAATAATCTGCTATTTCAGAATCTGGTCCAGGATCTTCATATGAAATAGTAAGGCTACAAATAGGCTTGTGAATGTCCATCCAGACTATACATAGCAATCTCCAAGTGAAGTATTAACACTGTTCTACTCAAAGTTTATTGCTTCTTTCTTTGCTCTAATATTTCTTTAAGGAAGTAGAAATATAAGCACCTGACCCTCTACTGCATCAAGCAAGTCATATTTTGGAAGATCAGATTCACATAGAGTATTTACTTATAGAAACATATAGAGAAAGAAGAGGATCCAAGTGAATGTGAATATGCAAAAAAAAAAAAAAAAAGACATAAATAACAAAATAACACCTAGATACAAGTAAAATATATAGACCAGACTAATTTTAACACAATGAATACAGTATGATGTGTTTTGAAAAAATTGAGTGCCAAGTAAATGGAAAGTACCCAGAATAATGCCTGACACAAAGACATGTCTGCTAAAAATATTATCATCAGAGCATTATTATAATAAATGAGAATTTAATTATTCACCATTGATATTATATCTCAGAATCTAACATGAGAGGGGCACAAATATTTATGGAATTAAACATTTGTTGAATGAAACTATGCTTTAATAAAACTGTAAACCACTAATTGTTCCATTTAATTGTTTTTGGGTCACCTGTAATTCTAAAATCAAAAATCACTTTCCATTTTATATCCAAGTAAATTTGACAAAATGGTTATACTATTTTCACTGGTTCCACAACATATCTACTTAGTTAGGCATAACTATAATCTCTTAAATAACTTTTTTGCACAATGTACATTAGACTTTAAGTATTATAGAATTTTTTTCATGCATAAACAAAGCTAGTTTATCAACCTACTCCCAGAGATTTGCAGCTAGTCAGAAAAGCAAAGTATAAAAGGAAATATTAAAAATGATAACGTAATGCAATCACAGAAAAACCAAGGAAACAAATGGGATTACATTCTTCCTTACCAACCACAAATACTTTGGTTTTGAAGCTGCTTTAGGTAGAACGTCTTACATTTAGATTAGCTTTAACCCTGAAAACTCAAGGAAGAGGAGGTATGTGTGAAGCAAGCATGAGTATTGGGAGATGGCAGCAAGTCACAGAGTAATAAACACTTCTTACCCTTAGTCTTTATTTATTTTGAATTGCTTCCCACCGAATTCTTCAAACTCCCTTCTCACACTCTTGGCTCAAAAAGGCTTAAATCTAAATTAGATCAGCTTTCTATCACATTCATAACTCTACTCAAAAAGGTAAAAATACCATGTTTTCCAACTGAATGCAAAATCTAACTGGTCAATCAAGTGACCTACCTACCATGTATGCCTGTTTCCGAAACTTAGAAGGGTATGAATATTTCCTTATGCTCTCTACCATTAACTAAGTTTCTCCCAGTTTTCCACTCTTCTTTTATCTATAATTTTCTGCGAATACATATTGCTGGCTGAATTTTCTTGGCACCGGTCCTGAGGAGCTATGGAAAGCTTTCTACAACCCAATTCCTCCCAATTCATCTTACCATGTTATTCTAAACCCCTGACTCTTTGCGAGTGGCATGAGTCCCCTCACCCTGCGACTTTGTGTTTGTCATGATCCACAAACCCTTATGAGCGCGCTCAGAATGCGGGGCATCTGGTTAAACTATTATCACACTCAAACATCCTTTCTGTACCTAATCCTACAGCTTTTAAACCAATTATGTCCCTCACTCCATTTATGATCTGCTAATAACCTTCAATTCAAACACTCCCCCCCACAGCTCTCTCTCGCGTTGCAGACGCCCAACTTTAGGTTCCACCTTTGCTCCCCACTTCGGAAGACGAAACTTCGGGCCATTCACTCGGCTCCTCGAGAATTTCTCCGCGAACTCCCCCGCCCGTTCCTTCCCGCCCTCCCTGCGCGGCCCCAGCCACCGGTCGCCAGCAGCCCAGGCCTCCGGGCCCCTCGCATCCCCGCCCCTTTCCCGAGTCCACTGGCGGCACTGGCGCCATCACCTTCTTCCTCCGCCATCGTCTCCGCGGAGACCCGGGAGGCCGTCCGGCTCCCGCGCGCCTCGGAGTTTCACTCCCTTCGCGTTGCGAACACCTCCGCGGTCCCTGGCCCACTCCCGGCCGCCGCGCCCCCACTTCCTGACCCGCCCCCCTCCGGTGTCGCTGCCAACCACGTTCCCCCGGGCGGCCAAGGAACTAGAGTGCCGGGAGCGGCGGGCGGCCGGAGCGTTTCGCTGGGACGCCTGGGCCTGCGCTGGCAGGAAGGAGCCTCGACGCCGGGGGCGCTGCCTACGTTTGGTGCTCCTGGCCCGCCCATCCCGTCCCCGGGAAAGCGAGGTTTGTGAGGCCCACCGCAAACCCTCAATTTGTGCGTCAGTTCCAAAAACGTGGGCGGGAACGTACATTCCGCTACTTTGTGGTTCAACTCCGGGAATCAGGAGACTGCTATCAGCTTTACCTTTTGAAACCAGCTCTCACCCCCATTTTACAAAAAGGAAACCAGGATCCCGCATAAAGCAGCCTCAAAGCTACTTAGAGCTGGAACTGGAACGCAGGACCCTGAACTGCAGTCTGTGCCTGCGTTCTCACCAGGATTTGAGAGCCCGGCAAAATGTTCTAGTTGGCAGTTTGGCTCAGCAGACCGCTTGACCATTACAAGAAAGAAGCCTGTGCTAATTGACCAAAACGGGTTAAACAAGACGTTTGCATGTCATGATATCCAAGAAAACAGAACAGCCCAATAATATCAGCCTGTGGGAGAAGAGTCGTGCGTTTAGATATTCCACAGCAGTCGGAAATAGTTTTACTTTGTATGTCCTCACTTGTATCTGGCATTTTCCACCAAAACACCAGGACCCCCCCCCCCAAATTTTCCCCAGAAGTTCATGGAAGTAAATTTAGGAAGTGAGGAAATATCTTTTTGAAGTGGGAAAAGCAAGCACAGAATTAACTGAAATCACTGGGTAATTATGGATGTCCCTTACTTAGCAGGGAGCAAGACTCCTCTAAATACGGCTTTATTAAGTTAGGACATTTGGGGAGAGGCTATCATTTTTTAATACTGTGAAAAAACAGTTCCAGGAACTCGTTTTATGTCTTTAATTGCCTGTAAATACGTCTTTTGCCTTCAAACAACATTGCACTAGGAGTTACAAACAGTGGACCAGAAAGGGCCCCTCCCTCGCCCCGCCAACACAGAAATTATGAACACTGAAAACCACAGGATATGACAGAGCCCTAGGCATTGGCCACAGATACCCAGTGTCCTGTGTCATATCAACTGTGTGAAAGAGCTACAATTTATGAGAAAGCAAACATAATGACTGAGTCTTGAAGCGCTACCCTATTGTTTTTTCATGATCCCTAAAGGTAGACTTGATTGTCAATTCACCTGCTCTGTAGAATAATGGGAGAAAGAAAAATAAGACAAAATATCTTCTTTTTTTTTTGTATCAAGAATTGAAACTAGAGGCTTACCCACTGAGCCACATCCCCAGCCCCTCTCCCATTTTTAAAAAAAATTTGAGACAGCATCTCATTAAATTGCTGAGGCTGGCTTTGAACTTGTGATCCTCCTGCTTCAGCCTCCTGAGTTGCTGGGATTACAGGTTTGCTCCATGGTGCCCAGAAAAAAATAGCAATTTAAAAGAAGAAATATACCTACTTGGGTGGCTGAAACAGGAGAATCACAAGTTTGAGGCCAAGCCTTAGCAACTTAGTGAGACCCTGAGCAACTTAGCGAGACCCTGTCTCAAAATAAAAAAGCCTGGGGATGTAGCTCAGTGATAGAACACCCTGGGTTCAATCCCTAATATAAGCCTCCACCCCACAAAAAAAAAAAGAGAAAAGGGAACATGAGAGAAAATAAATATTCAGTCTTCAGAAATCAATAGACTAGGGGTTGTGTTCTCTAGTATAAACATTTCTCCCTTGAATCCTAAAATATTCATATAAGGATAATGAGAATATCTTAACCCTGAACCAATGCAACCAAAAAATGTACTTCATCAAAAAAGATGTCTTGCAACCAGCATTATGGCTGTTTTCAATAGGTCACTCCATAATACCAAAGGCCAGTTATTTTCAGATGGTAACATACATGGCTAGTGGATACATGGTCTAAGATGACTTTAGATGAACCATATTGATTAATTTTCCACAACCACAATGGACTTCTAGTTTTCTAACCAAAATTTGAAGAGTCATTTCATACTCTTTGCCTCACCTTGACCAACCCTAAACACTCCACGTTATCTCAGATGGTCTTTAATGTGAAAAATATTCTCAAAGAACAATATGGCTTTCTGCCATCTCTAAAAGATAGAGGTGCCCTTCTATATGTAGTTGGATATTTTTAGTGAAATATTATTGGTTTTAAGAAATTAAAGTCTTGAGCTTAGGATGCAGCTCAGTCAGTAGTAGAGTGTTTGCATAGAATGCATGAAACCCTGGGTTTGATACTTAGTGACAAACGCAAACACAACACAGCTTTTAAGAAATGTAGGAGTACCAAACTGGGTAAGAAAAACAAAGGCCTAGAAAGAAAAGTGTTCAAAGAGAATATTCTTGAAAGATGCTGAAAATGTATAGGACCTGATACAAACTGGACGTATTAAATGATAAATAGAAGATGATTCATAAGGTTTATATTTTGAAATTAATCATGTACTTTTGTGTATGTGAGTGGTACTGGGGAACAAACCCAGGATTTCAAACATGTTAGGCAAATGTTCTACCACTTAACTACATTTGCAATCCATAATCATACTTTCCATGCATCAAGCACAACATTTTGTCAAGATATGAGAAAAATACAAAACAATTCCCCAGAGAACTTATCTTTTTGAAACCAAAGAGATATATGCAAAAGATATTTTAAAAACTTTCTTCTGGCTGGATGCAGTGGTACATACCTGTAATCCCAACCTTAGGAGGCTAAGGCAGGAAAATTGCAAGTTTGAGGACAGCCTCAGCAACTTAGTGAGACCCCAAGCAACTTAGTGAGACCCTGTCTCAAAAATTTAAAAGGGCTAGAGAGGTAGCTCAGTGGTAAAGTGCCCTGGATTCAATCCCCAGTACAAAAAAAAAAAAAATATCTTCATTTTATTAATAGCAACCTACCATAATCACTATTGAAATCCTTGAATCTGTTCAACTTTTCATCTATTAAACATGAAATTTTGTTTCATCTTTACTATATAATAGAATCTTAGTTATCCATTGAGTAGCATCTTTCTATTATTCTCAAACATGATCTCCTTTGTGTACTCTGAAT